ACTCCCCTTTTCAGCAGGGGGCCTCCTGCTCTCTTCCTGGCTCACCTGGAAAGTGCCACCAAGCACGGATGCCTGACCTTATTTGGAACATGACCTTTGGCATAGTTACCTGGAGTAAAAACTACCCCCAGGTTTTTTCTATATGATAATCAGGCATTGCCTGATAGTCTGGAAGATAGGAGCCCACTGCCACATGTAAATAAAGCATACTATGAGCACCTATCAACTGAGGCTTTTGCTACTGCCTCCACACTATAAATTCTCTAGTTCTCCCACTGAATAAACGGAGCTGTTTTCACTGTGTCTGGAGCTGTATCACTGCTGTTTCACTGCGCCTGGGACCAGTCTCCCCGGAAGGGCTGTCTTCCGTCAGTGCTCACTGGCCATCCCGACCCTGTTCACCACTTCTGCTCTCCCTGCCCTCGTGGGCCAGTGGCCAATGACCCGCGAAGAGAAGGAGAGCCTCCCGCATACATGCTGTGGTACACACACAGACACACATGTTAAAGGGGTAAGGGTGGCTGATGTGATGGTAGCTCCAATTCCAGGGATCCAATGCTATCTTCTGGTCTCTTGGGGTACTGCCCACATGTGGTACACTTACATACATGCAGGTAGAGCACTCATGCACATAAAGTAAAAAATTTAAGGGGAACAGTGTATTGATTTACCCTTTTTCAGGGTCATGTGGGCTGTGGATGTCAATCATTATTTATTTATTTACTTACTATTTATTTATTTATTTGCACTGGAGATCTAACCCAGGGTCTTGTGCATACTAAGCAAGTGCTGTGCCATTGAACTACACCCCCAGCCCTTCAACTCAAGTATCTTCAAGGAAATAGTCTCAAAAAGTAAATGTAATTATAGGACTAGATTTCAGAAAAATACTCCCAAGTGAGCAGAAAAAATTATGTCCAAAGATACGTGATGTTTTCTATAGTGGATATTATCTAATGTTAAAATACAGGGAAAGGTTAATAATGGAAAATTAACTGAATTTGTCTTCTTCTCTGGAGGGTTTATTTGCTTTTCTGTCTTCTTAGTCTGAGCATCTTTTCTCCTTATGGTTTTATACTTTTAAAACCTTTTTTTTTTTGGTCTTTTTGAAAAAGGGTCTCCCTGTAGCCCCAGCTGGCCTGGAACTATGTAGACCAGGTTGGCCTTGAACTCATAGAGATCCACCTGCCTCCACCTCCCAAGTGCTGGAACTACAGGCGTGCACCAATACGCCCAGCTACTTTTAAAACTTTTAAAAGAGAATAAATATGTCTTTGTTTCCTATCAGGCACAAGAAATCTCTCAAGACTGTCTTCTGGTTCCCGTATTAACTCATTTTCAGTGCCATATTCTACATTTTCAAGATGTCTTTCTCCTCTTTTGAGTGGGAAGATATTTGCAAAGTTCTTATATTTTTAATTTTGTTCCATTTAATTAATCCTTTTAAGTAGGAAACATTAAATCAGATATTTTCCTGGGGAAGTTTTGCATCTTGTTTTCACATAGTTCAGAGGAACTACTTAGGTTTTTCAGTTGGAGAGTGAGGTAATGTATATATAGACACCCAGTATGCTAAGTTTAACTAAGAAAACATTTGCCAGCTTAACTTAGCTTATGTTTCCATTTCTATTGTGTGGCTCACTGGCATGCTGGTTTTGTTGTTGCTATTGTTCTTAATACATCATTTCTCTCTCTCTCTCTCTTTCTCTCTCTCTCTCTCTCTCCCCCCCCTTTCTCTCACTCCCCAACATGATCCTCATATCATCTATAATTCCTAGGTCTTTTCTGTCTATTTCAAATTGCACCACTTTACTTTGACCCATTGTTTAAAATCCTTCTTTATTTTCTTCCTTAGTCTTTGCTGATAGTGACTCCTAATAAATGCAGAAAGACATCAATGAGTTGAGCGATAGGTCAGAATTATCAAAGCTATCACAGAACTGAGAGATGTGGTAAGGCAAGATGTCTTCCTTCCACGCTATAATTTCTCGTGACTGAGACAGAGGAAAGAGACTGAGGTGAGGCTGTGGAAAGCACCTTTCTGGCTCTGTTGGACACTGTGAGGCCCCTAATCAAATGTCTGTATCTGTTCTGTTATGCTTCTACCATGCAGGCATTTCTCAACATCCTGGTATTATTTATCTCTCAGTCTTGTTTCCCAGAGACTGGGAATTTGAAAGAAGCTCAACTAATTAAAAGCATCTTTACTCATGGTTACTCATACGTCTTTGATGACTATTTTCTCCACCTATCTGTTTGCCCTTTGAACTTGAAACTCTCGTCTTATTTAAAAATAATGTACCCTTAAAATACATACTTCAATTAAGCAGCCAAGATAAGCACTTCAAGTTATGCATACATTGTTACCTGCACACTTTTTACCATCTCCTGTGTATGGTGGGTTACAGGAGCAGATGTAGGATCCATTTGTATTCAGGCAGAAGGCATGCTCATGACAGTCTGATCCAACTGCACACTCATCAACATCTAAAATGAAGACAGTTTACAAAAGCTTGAGTTGATTCATTTTTTTATGTGTTCAACATTGGTTTTTGCTTCCTACATATCACTTTATACATGCTACTATATATATTTAAATATTTTATTTATTATTTTTATTTTATGTGTATGTGAGTGCATTGCCTACATGTACATAAGTGCACCCATGTCAGGCAGTACCTGTGGAGGTCAGAAGAGGGAGTCGGATTCCCCTGGAACAGGGGTTACAATGGTTGTTAGCGGCCTTGTGGGTGCTGGGAATTGAACCCAGATCCTCTGCAAGAGCAGCCAGTGCTCTTAACTGCTGATATATATGTGTGTGTGTCTGTGTGTGTCTGTGTGTCTGTGTGTGTGTGTGTCTGTGTGTGTGTATGTGTATCTGTATGTGTGTGTATCTTGATTGTATATCTTTATATATATATATCTTGATTCCCAGCACCCACATGGTGGCTAACAACCATCTGCAACTCCAGTTCCAGGGAACCCAATGCCCTCTTCTGACTTCCACGGTTACTGCATGACACAGGTGCACTTACATGCATGCAGGCATGTACTCATATACATAAAATAAAAATAATAAGTAAAATGTTAGAAACATAAAACAATCATGATTACATTGCAGATTGCTGATAAAAGCTATTGCTTCTCCAACTTATAGGTAGGCAAGTTGATTAAAACTTTAGAAAATTTTTGGCTGCTCTGGGGAGAGACAGCTACTATGTCATCATGGCTTGCCCAAGGTTTCCTGAGATGAAGAGAGCCTTGAGGCTTGTGGTAATTGGTTCCCTGAAGAGCAAGAATGAAGCCCCTTTGTGGGCACCCGTGTTTATCTCACCAAGGCACGATGGTGAAATGCCATTCCAGCTCCCGTTATCTGTGCAGAACATCCGTGAATCACCCAACAAGTAGTAGCCGCTGTTGCACTGGTAGGTCACCGTGCTGCCTGCATGGAGGTCCTCAGCTGAATAGACACCATTCTCCAAGAGGGGAGGCACCCCACAGCGAATGCCTGGAGTGGGACCAGGGAGAGCATGGCTACAGCGGGAGCGGACAGCTCACAGGACATCTTACTTGCCTGAACCTTGTTCTATGATAATTTCCTAAAGCATCATTTCTTTTCCTTTGCAGGTGAACATTAACTTGAGAGTGTTCTCCCCTGGCTGGAGCCATACATGCACCCTTAGCATGTAGCACACTGCTGGGCTCATAGTAGGCAGACCATTCATTCATTCATTCATTCATTCAAAAAAATCTATAGAGACTGTACCAATTAGACACTCTCCTAGGTGCTGGGATTATAGTGAACCAAACAGATGGAATTCTTGCTTCGTGGAGCTAACCATCTCATTAGGCAGATAGACAAGAAGATCAATATCTGCCATATCAGGTAATAATTGTAATTCACAATTATAGAGTAGTAGACTTGGTTGTATAAATTCCTTCACTTCATTTTCTCCCCTTCTTGCTTAATTTTCTGCCCTTTACCATTGTCATTGATTATAAAAAACATCATATGCATTTATTTTTCTATTTCTTCTAACATAAACTCCAGAACTCTTAAATGATGTGTATAGCACATGATAAGTACTTTAAAAACTGTTGAATAAATAAATAAATGGATGCACTCAGCTCAAGATATCAGGACCTCTTTACCCACTCAGCAGTGGCCCACCTCAGTCTGCATCTCCAGCTACATGACCTTATTGCCAGTTCCCTGCCACCACCTCAGATGCATTTCCACTGGCCTCTTTGGCTCTTTATCATCATTCCATGAAGTACTTGACACAGTTCCTTACACAAAGCAAGGACTCAGTGAATGTTTGCTGTTTGCTACACTGGAATGGCTACTTTTTGTTTAGCATTCCCAAAGGGCTCATAAGGATCAAATTTTCAAGAGCCACCAAACAGAGTTGAATAAAGGCCACTCACGTTCACAGTGAGGGAGTGGTTGCGTCCACTGTCCTTGGTTTAGACAGTACTGCACAGGATTCCCAACCATCTGGAAGCCCGGATCACAGAACAGACTGACTTTGGAGCCTGGCTTTCGATCTACTGATGCAGTTCTCAGGTGAGGTATTGATCCTTCCAAAGATGGACAATCTGAAGGCAAAGAGCACAGGAGCAGAGGTCATCAGCAACACAGCAGCAGAACCACTGAATCAAGGGGCACAAACTCTTTTGCACAGGCATGGGAAACCTGCTCTACTGATATTAAAACAAGCTATTGTGTACCCCGACTCTTGGCAAGCAAAATTATAGGGGAAAAATTCATTTGAGTCACCAAATAATTTTTCTTCTTTCAGCAGAAGTCTATAGAGTATTTTAAAAATATTTTATTATTTTTATTTTATGTGTTTGAGTGTTATGCCTGCATGTAGGTAAGTGCACCCGTGTCGTGCAATGCTTGCGGAGGACAGAAGAGGCTGTTGGATCCCCTGGAACTGGAGTTATGGACAGTTGTTAGCTGCCATGTGGGTACTGGGATTCAAACCCGGGTCTTCTGCAAGAACAGCCAGCATTCTTAACCGCTGAGCCATCTATAGAGTATTTTTAAAGAAAAAATGGCATTTGGGGAATAGTAATGAAATATTCTTATAACTTATCAAAATCCATGAACTTTAAGAATGCATTGATTTTAGGGAGTAGTTCTGATCATCCAGAGTTTGGATATTCAGTGTGTGATAGAAATATTTATTGCTCTTATCTGTTCCTAAGAACTATATAACCAAAGGAAGTAAACTTATCTCAAATAGGAGCATAGAATTTTGGTGATCATTAAACAAAGAAACAAACAAAACACATACTCAGAGCCTACTACCCATATTTCTAATCTTATTTTATCTTTGTCCAACTGTCTTCCTCAATTAGTTTATGCCCTGTTGTACAGAAAGTATTTCAATATGAAAAACACCCGTTTGGTGCATTTAAGGTAAATATGAATTACTAGTTAAGGAGTAGATTGACATGCATCCATGATTTGGCCACAAGAGAATTCAGAATTATCTCCTTTTGACAGAAAACTCTAGAGTACTCAAGAGATGGCAACATTGATGGAACAAAGAAATCCTCACCAGAACAGAATATGCTCTTAGAATCAACCTTCACCTTCCCCATGATTCCCAATAAGAAATCAGGCCAGGCTAACACATTTCCTCGACGGAGTTCCTCTGGGCAGGAGCTAGCAAGCGATTTCACCTGCAAATTTAAAGCACATCTTTAGATAATACTTCTGCTAAAGTGAATTCCTATATCACAATTTAGCCCATTGATATGTGCACAGATGTTTGTGGCAGAGGTGAAGGGAAGCAGGTTTTTTCCATCCTACGATTCCAGAGGCAACAAGAAAATTTTCCTTCCTTTCTCCAACACACATAGTTGCCGTTCTCAAATATTTATCCCATTTAAAGATTCACTGTTGCATGAAAACTTGACATCCTGTACATAGTTTCTTGTCTCAATGTTAAGGATGATTAAGGCATTGTACAGGAGCCCATCCCCCATTCTATGACTTTGACGTCTGACTTAGTGTTGCACAAACTAAGGCTTAGAGAAATTCTATCACTATAATTATAAGGGTGAACATTTATCAAGCCGTTGATATGGACCAGACAATGCCACAGATGTACATATGGTCTTTTGTTTAATCCTGTCAAGTAGTTGTCTTTTATTTCTCTTTTATAGATAAGAAAAACGAAGCATCAAGAGATGAGAACAACATGATCAAAACCATCCTAGCAAGTCTGGTAAAATGGACCTGTCCCCAGGCTGTCTGATCCCAGTCTGGCTTTAACCACTAGCTTATCCACTGCTGTCTGTGATGCTCTGATGCCTGTACTCAGCCTAGTGAGAGAGGTTTGAAGTATTGCTTTCTATGGGTTTTTCCAGCTCTGAAATCACAAGATATTTTTTTTTTAAAAAAATACTCGTTTCTGTATGAATTTCAGACAATTACTGAGAAGCTAAAATGCCAACGAGTGAAAATCACTGTAGATAACTCCCGCCCAACACAGACCATGTTATCCAATAACATCGTTGATAAATTCTGCTAAGTAAGAGCTTACAATAAGTCATCATGAGGCTGTTCAGTTTTACTAGGTTTGTACCTTTGCAGTTCATTACTGTCAAACACTGAAAATGGAATTGACCTGCTGTGGAGACAGGACATAGTCCCAGAGGTTGAGCTGGCTTATGGAGCCTACAAAGGACTCAGCTGGGTTGAATCCTTCCCCTTTCTTGTCTTGCTCTTGCCCAAGAACTAATGCACCACCGCCTGAAGACAGAGAGAAAGAGTAAAAAGGAGGAAAACCGGCTTAGTGGTCTGTTAGTCCCAAACGCATGAAAACGTCATCAAATGCAGTTATGTAACTTTATTGCATGTTTTATCAACGAGGACAAATTCAGATTAAGTTTATATAGCAACTCAAAAGTAGTTGGATGGTGAGCACCAGGCTCCAGTGGATAGTTTCAAATCCATGATCACACAGATGGCCCTGGTTAAAATCAATGGGTCTGGGCTGGAGAGATGGCTCAGCAGTTAAGAACACTGGTTGTTTTTGCAGAAGACCCGGGTTTGAATCCCAGCACCCATATGGCAGCTAACAACTGTCCAAAACTCCAGTCCCAGGGGATCCAACAGCCTCTTCTGACCTCTGTGGGCATTGCATGACACAGGTACACTTACCTACATGCAGGCAATACATGCATACACATAAAATAAAAAAAAATAAAAATTTAAAAAATTATAAAAAAAATCAGTGGGTCATGAAACAAAACAAAAGGACACAAGTGTGGGAAAGGGACTTGTAAAGAGGAGAGGGGGATGATGAGGTGGGAGAGAGATAAGTGTGGGTGGTAAGTGAAAGCAAACAGAATTTACTATACACATGCATGACATTGCTGAGAACAACTCTGATCAATTAAAAAATGAAAAAAGTAGTTAGATACAGTTTAGATTATTATATTGAACTTATAAATACAAGTTCAGAAACAGAGAGGAAAGGTTGGGGAGAGGGAAGGGAAGGGGAAGAGAGAGGAGGAAGGGGGGAGGAAAAGGAGGGAGAGGAGGAGGGAGGAGGGGGAGAGAGAGGAAGAGAGGAAGGGAAGAGAAAGAGGAGGAGAGAAGGGAGAGAAAGAAGGAAAGAGGAAGAGGGAGGGGAAGGGGAAGGGGAGAGACAGAGAAAGGAGGAGGGGGAGAGAGAGAGAGAAAGGAGGGGAGGGAGAGGAAGAGGAAGAGATACAAAGTTTCTGAGCAAAGGAATAAAACCCAAGAAGGAATACAGTGTGGTGTGGGGACAGACACTGAGGCTGACCTGCAGCCCCCTGATCGCGCCACTATTTCTGGGTGTTTTAGTCTCAAATGGACCCACACCCACTACATCTGTGGACATGACTCAATAACAGGTCTAAGTGGAAGAGACAGTGGGGCCAGGGAAAGGACACATCAGTCAGAGGAGTCAGACACCAGTCAGCAGTGCGCCCTGAGAGTCATTTCAATTAGTCTGAGCCTCTCTCCTCCTTCGCCTCTAAAATGGAAACAGCTATTCAACATTAAACTCACACCATCATCCATCGCGACAAAAACACTGAGTCAGTTTATATAAAATAGTAATTAGGTATAAATGGCATTACAATGGGAAGTGCTAGGGGTGAGTCTGGAGTGGAAAGGAGTCATTGCCAGAAGTCAGGCAAACCTGAATCCCCCAGGGAAGACACCCAGGGCAAGGGCTCACACTGGATGGAAAGAGCAGCTGCTGTTCGTCAGTTGCCTCATGGGAAGGGACCTAGGAGGTTAAACTCTCCCATCCCACCCTCTCTCCTCAGATGGGTCCTTCCACTGGCTAGCCTCACACTGAAGGCAATGGACAAGGAAAGCCACTGGTGCAGCTCCTAAGAGACAGCCTTTGTGATACAAACCAGAACAGAGAAAGGCAGTCAGATGGGGGCAAACAGACTGTCCAGGACAACTACGAGAGGTAGTTGACTAGAATAAAACAGTCAACAGAAGGAGATGATTCTTGGACAAGTGTATCAAAAAACAAAACAACTCAGTAAATAGGCCAATGAAATGAATAGGCAGTTCTCACAAGATGAAATACACTTGACTATCTTATTTTGCTTCTCTTAACTTTGTCTACACCCTTGAAAATAGCCCTTTATTGAGCTCTTTCCTTTTACCCCCTTTTAGTGCCACTGGTTTCCTGCCATGATCCTTGCTAAGGGCACTTGGTTTCAGGACGGCATCCCTTCTGGTTTTCCTCCCCTTTTCTACCTCAGATCCCATTCCTCTGCCTGTCTTTTGGAAGCTGACGCACCTAGAATTCCCAGGCTTTCTCTCCTCTTCCTTCAGTTCCTCTTCCTACATAATTTTCTTGTCTGCCAATCAATTTCAACACATCTGTCTTTCATAACCCCCTACTTTTTGAATATTAATAACTTAAATATATAAACAGAAAAAAAATTAGAAAACGATTAAGAAGAATTCCTCAGAAACAGAGCGGGGCATGGTGGTACATGCCTCTAAGCCTAGCACTTGGGAGGCAGAGGCAGGTGGATCTCTGTGCGATCAAGGCCAGCCTGGTCTACATAGTTCCAGGCCAGCTGTGATTACAAGGAGACCCTGTTTCGAAAAGACAAAAAATTCCTCAGAAATAATCCTGGGATTGGGGAGATGGCTCAGCGGGGTAAAGTGCTTGCTTCCCTAAGCCAGTTTTGGTTTCTATGTTGACTTTCTGTTCAATATATTTTATTAACAGGCAACTTATTGGCAGTACAAGGTATTTTTTATTTTACTTATTTTTAATTTATTTTTCTTTTTTGTCTTTTAAAATCTTTTAAAAATCCTTTTTATCTTTTGTTTTATTTTATTTTATCATCTGTTCCCTAGAGAGATAGCTGCCACTGGTACAGCATTAGGGCAAGGATGTAATCAAGGGTTTTCTGTCAGCACCAGCTACCAAATCCTGGCCCCACTGGCTAAGTGGGGAGCTATGAAAGTGCTGGACAGGTATCTTTTAAAATTAAAAATTCTTGTTGTGTGTTGAAGCAGGATATCATGTCTTCCAAGCTGGACTCCAAGTCACTATGAAATGACACATGACCTTGAACTTTTGAACCTCTTGCCTCTACTTCCCAAATGTTATGATTATAGGAAATTACTACCACACCCTGGCTCAGAACAAGATATCTTAAATCTATTGAGATTGGTCTCATCAAATCAATATTTTGTCAAACACTGTCCTAATCCTGTAAAATAATCACATGATCTTTGTTGCTGTTGTTGGTACTGGCATTTAACCTAGTACCTTCTACATGCTGGACAAAATGTTCTCCCACTAAACTTCATCCTCACTCCACATGGTTTTCAAAAGAAGCTGCTATGTCCATCTTTCAATAATCTCACCATACAGCGATGTGTCCAATGTTACAGCTTTATGTCTCTCTATTCCTCCACGTCAGAATTCACTAACCCAATCCCTGGATTTCCTTTTCTCTCCTTTCCTCACAAGAAAGCCACGTGTCTCTATTTCTCAGCTAGAGCTATCCTTTAAGGACGTCATATGTGCTCAGTACCTAGGCTGCCCTATTGACTAGACTGGTTCTTGGCAAACAGTGTGTGGATACATTTCTCAGGATCTGTGCGTACGTTTCATCTCTTCATCACACTGCGGTTGTTTAAGGAAGAGCTGCTCTCGCCTTAGTCTTTCATTTGTCCCAACTTTCTGTTCCAACAGAGACATAGAAAATGTTCCCTCTTCTCATATTAATACTAAACAGCTCCTTTCTCTGGGGTCCTTTTGTCCTCTTTGGCTAGAAACCTCTTTGTTGCTCAAGGCTTTTCACATATGCCCTATCGCTTCATTCTTATCATATTGGGACTGACCTGAGCTGCCCTTCCACCATCTCCCCCATTAAAGGCCACCAGTGACTTCCCACTGATTTCAGGACGGAAGGCTCAATCTTTAACTCGCCCTTCAAGGCTTTGGTGATTTGACCAGACTTTCTGCTACAGCTTCATGCAGTTTGTAGTTCATTCACTTGTTCTGTCAGTATTTCAGATACATTTGTTGATCTCTGTGTAGCTCTTAGGACAAAGTCCCATCCCCCTCACAGTCTCCTGGCTACCCTTAGAATTCAGCCAGAATAGCTAGCGGTCCAGGCTTTATTAACTCTTCACTTTGGATCATGGAACAGTGTCCCGTTCTCCATTGTATTAACTCAGTTTGAAGTCACACATCATTTAGTGTGCTAATAGAGTTAATGCAACTTCTCACTCCCCCACCACATTGAAACCTTCTGGAGAGTAAGAATCACATGCTTTCTGCTCACTGTTAGAGTTCTGGTGCCTTACACAGGTGCCTGACTTACCAAGGGGTGCCCAGTATACATTCTCAAATGAACTAACTTTATTCACAGATGAACTAACTTTATTCACAAATGAACGAACTTTAGTTTCATGCCTGTGGATCTCCTTAGTATTAAAAAGTTAAACAATGCACAGGCAAAGGTTTCTAAAATCTAAAACAAAGATCTATTTTGAGGCTTTGCAAAGGCAATCTCATCACATTTTCTTAAAGATTAGACTTATTTTATTACTATAATTAGTATATTTATCCTGGTTTGGTACAACTTACTTCTAGACTATAATGGTCCATTTTTAGTATTTTAAATTATTTTAATTTTATTTTACCCAGGCACAATTTTTAAGTAGTGGAAAAATGAGGAAGATTAAAAACGATATCTTGCTTATGTTCTCTCTCTGTGTCTACTTAGGTGTTGGGAAGTTTTAGAACTCTCCATAACTTCAGTTTTCATATTGGAAAATAAAAAGGAGCATTATGATTCAAAAAAAAAAAGATGTCTACCTCTCTTGCTGTATCTACACAGGTGAAAGCCCTCTAAGTATTTTAAGTATTTCTAGAAGAAAGGTTGAGTTCTATTTGCATAAAGGACATAAAAGATGGACACCTATTGGCAGTGGCCCAGTTTATATACCTTGTCCCCAAACAAAGCAGAAAGCCCCTAAAACCAACAAGGAAATGAGTTTGCAAACAGAGCACATCAGTAGTTAATTGCCCCCTTAGATGACAACTTAGCCAACACCTCTTGGCTCAGCTTGCTTCTTTGTTTAAAAAATATTTTTTATTTATTATTTTAATTTTATGTGTATGAGTGTATTGCCTACATGTATGTGAGTGCACCCATGCCGTGCAATGCCACAGAGGTCAGAAAAAGGCTTTGAATTCCCCTGGAACTGGAGTTAAGGATAGTTTGTAGCCACCATGTGAGTGCTGGGAATCGAACCCAGGTCCTCTGCAAGAGCAGTCAGTGCTCTTAACTGCTGAGCCATCTCTCCAGCCCCCTCAGCTTGCTTCTTGGTAGTACTGACCTAGATCCCCAAAGGCATTTCCTACTGTGATGCAGTTTACCTAGGAGAAAGTACCCCATATCTCAGTGTAGATAGTTGATGGGGTGGGGAAGGAACAAGAAACATAACTGTGGATCTTTGTCTGAAAACAAAGATAACCTAGCAAGCTTGATGTCCATGTATGCACTACCATCTCTATAGTGGCAGAGACAGGCCCGTTTTGCTAAGACATACCAGGTATGGCTTTGCCAACAGAGAGGCCGGTACCACCGTCAGATAATTTCCCATCGATGTAGACTTTCCAGGCTCCACCAGCGCTCGTCCATGTGATTGCAATATGATGCCAAGTGCCATCATTCACAGAGGGACAATTTGTTATCTCTTCCTTGCCATTCACATAAAGAACCCAGCTGTGGAGACAAAGATTCCAGAGAACACAGTCATTAGTCATGTGTCGTAATCCTTTCTCTGGGGGCATACATTATTATTTGTCTTGTTTTTTTGAGGGTACTTTGTATAAATTCATTAATCATTTTTTTTCACCATTTGCTATTTAATAAGCAGATTTGAGTTACTGATTATACTTAATTCTAGCTCAGTGTTTCCTAAACCCTGAAGGGTGAGAAACAGTCTTAGGCCAAGCCAATGTAATTGGAACATTCTCCACCCAACTACTTTGGAGAGTCAGCAATTAGCAAGCATTGCATAAATATCCAAACGATATCCTTCCTCTAGAATTTAGGATTCCCAAGACCAAGAACAAACTTTATACGTCCATGGAGCCAAGTCTGTTTCATGGTTTATACTATTGACTCCATATTTGTGTTCCCTCAAGATCTGTAAGCTAAAAGCCCTAATCACCAATGTGACAGTATTAAGAAATGGGGTTTTGGGGGGTTACTGGGTCATCAGGACAGGGCCTTCTGCATGGGATTATTGCAATTATAGAAGAAAACTCTTGCTGCCTCATTATTTGAGGGAATGGGAAGAACATGTGTTATGTAGTGATTTGTTCTGAGCTAAAACCTTCTTTCTTAGAAGAAAGCTCCCTAAGACACAGGATGTTCTAAGAGGAAGTGAACATTCCATCCTGTAGGAAAGTTTCTTACTCAGGAAGTAAACACCTCAAAGTCTTTAGGAAGGCCTTGAAACTGACTAGATACAACAGGTCTTTCCCTTCCTAAGCATATATAAGCAGTAAGGAAGGTCAAGAGAGACTCAGATCAGCTGAGCTGCCTGGAAGAGACACTCTCCAACCTGTTGAGTAGTCAGCAAATTGTATACTGCAGTTTGAAAGCTGTCACCCATGCTGGGGTGGGCTTTGGTGAAGCAGCTGTCTTTGAGTCATTTCTGCTCCTATAAGGAATCCTTCACCAACACTCCTGTAAGTAACCCCAATAAAACTCATTGGCTCACCAAGCTGGACTTTGTTGGTATCCTTACTTTGCTGTTGGTTCCATATATGGGGTGAACAGACATTTGTTCATACCTCCCCAAGAATAGTGTCACACAACAACATACCATCTATGAATCAGAAAATGGGCTCTGGCTAGACACCAATTCTGTCACTGCCTCGATTTTGGACTTCTTAGCACCCAGAGCAGTGAAAAATACCTTACTGTGGCTTGTAAGATACCCAGTCTGTGGTATCTTTTTGGATTATCCTAAATAGACTGAGGCAATTGCCAAAATAGTCACATGGAGTCAAAATATGACCATCTAAGTAAGAGAATAATTAAAACCAAACAAGGGTAGACAACTGAAAGAGGTTTCCAACAATCCCATCACTTCAGGAAATGATAAAAAGATAATAAACAGTTTAAAGTGAAAAATGTCCAAAAGCAAATGGAGAAAAAGAAATGATTATGGAGTGTTGACAAGGACAATAAAAGTTTATTGGAAACCTCTCCCAGAATCTTCTCAAACTCTAAGCAACAATATTCATGAACAAGTTATAATTGTACAGTACTAATTATTTCTTTTCTGTATTTTTCTTTTGTATTCAAGCAACAGTTTTATCTCTTTATATACACTTTACAGTTCAAGTTCACTAAGAAGAATAATGTCTGATGATGTAAACATTTCCACCAAAATGGTGGGATTTCCTTAGCTTGAGGGGAAGAAAGAGATCTCAGTGGGTCTCTGGGGTCCACAACCTGCACATTAGACCAACATGATAAAACACGTGTCTCACCATGGAGCCAATTCAAATGTGGCCTTGCAGCCTTGCCAAAGACTGCATGAGTAGAAAGGACAGTAGTCTTAAAAGGATCACAGAGGCCAAGTCAGTGCACAGCTCAGCAATAACTTGTAGGGACAGATGAGCAGTGGTGGAGTCCTGCCCACATCTGTGGTTCTTTGGCAAAAGAAGGAATTTGTCAGCAACTAAGAGGGAGGAGCTATGGAGTTAGAATCAACTGATCCTTAAGGAAATAAAGAAGTACCACCTTGCACTCTGAGCGTGTGTATTGGATCTTGCTCAATATACCTTTCTCTCACAAAGAATGCCACTGAACCTTAGCCTTTCAATGTTCTGCCATGTGAAGAAAGAAAATCAGTCTTAGAGTTTGGTTTGCGAGTTAGAGCTGATCCTCCTATGATGTGAGTTGGAGGAACTGTCAAATTATTTAGTCTTTCTGAAATTTTGTTTTCCTGTCTGTAGAAGGAGGAGTGCTTCCTTGGGGCATTATGAAGATCAGATAAGGCAATCCCCATGAAAACACTGAAGCAGCAAAATATGCTAACAATTACCACCAAACAGCTGGCCTTCCTATAGAACTTGTCTGGATGTTCTGGGTAGCTGTTGTCATCCTGCTGTCCTGACTCAGCTCCTGACCCTCCTTACCGCCTTATCCTCTCCTCAGAACCAGAGAGTGAACCCTCAGCAGGATGAGGTTCTAACTTGGTGCAGGGATAAGCTGTTGCTCAGCATCCATCCTGACACTTCTGCTTACCCATTATAATCAGTCAGGAGGAAGGTATTGTCTTTACCATCCTCAAGTGCGTAGGAGATTGGTGTTCCATAGTTGATGACATCAGAGGATTTCATCCAGAATGCACAGGTTACAGCGTGGAGAGACGGAAGCACTCCATCCAGCATGACGTACCCATAGATGCCAGAAACTTCAAAATCCAGGTTGAAACCTGTAGACTGTTCTGCAGCAAGGAAGAAAAGTGTGTGGAACATGGCACTTGTTAGACATTTCCACTCATCTCAGGCATGCAGCAGATAAGCACTCATTGTCAAAGAGGTGAATTTCAGCAAATATGATTCTTTGTGAAGCAATTTCAAAGGTAAAACTAGACTATTTACATTACAAAACATATAGTATATTTTAAACCAGTGAGTATTTATGTAAGAAAGGGATGGGCCTGGTGTGGTACACCATGGTCCCAGTATTCAGAGAGGCAGGGTCAGGCTGATCTTTGTGAGACTGAGGCGAACCTGGTCTACATAGCTAGCTGGGGCTATGTGGAAACCCCGACTTGAATAAAACAAAGAAAAAATGGAAAACACTCAGTTGTGAAGGGGAACAGAGAAACAGGAAGGGAGAAGTAGAATTTCAGTGTTGTAAAAGCTGAGAAATGAGTAGGTAGGTTTTTGTATACCGATGGGGAGGGTTCTGAGGTCAGCAAGGGGATGATGCTGCTATAGAGGGCAGGGCTACTTATAGGCAGCAACCGCTCTGACCTGAGAATCGGACCTTTCTATAGATGATGAACAAGTTAGCTCTTCTCCAAATATGTAAAACCTACTCAATAAAATAAGTCTTTGACCTAAGTCTCTACCTTCCTGATATGGCCAATGACTCTCACCACCTAAGCCAAGTGACTTTTCAAACTGCCCTTTCTAGACACATAAAAGGAAAGACGATAATTAAAGGTTACAAAACCTTAGAAAGGAGAAACAATCATAATTAAAGAAGAGGACAGGAAATTGAGGGAGGTATGAGAGAAGTTGAGGAGGACTCGGAAGGATGAAAATAAAGAAATACAATACTCGTGTATGAAATTTGTTTAAGTTCAACTACGTAACATGGTAACTAACATAACATGTACATTTCAAAATTGCTAAGATAGTACATTTTCAGTGTTATCACAGGAAATCCGTTAAACATTTGAATTGATGGCTATGTTAACAAGATTGCTTTCAATATTCTACGTCATATTAAAAAATGGTGCTTTGCGCTTCATACATGCATGTAATTATAAATTTTGAAATTAGAATTGCATTGCAGAAATATCATTAAATTAACAAGACTGGGACTGTGGAGGTGTCTCAATGGGTAAAGTGCTTGCTGTGCAAGCATGAGGATCCCTGGCACCCATGTAAAAAAGCCAGGCATGGTGGCACTGGTCTATAACCCAGCGCTGGGAGGTAGAGATAGGAGGATCAATGGGGCCTCCTAGCCAGCTGGTCTAACCGATCTGTGAGCTCTTGGTTCAGTGAGGAACAATGAACAAGGTGGAGAGAAGTAGAGGAGAACATCTGACATTAACTTTTGGCCATCAGTCCTGCATGTGCGCGTGCGCGCACACACACACACACACACACACACGCAGACAGGGAACAATGAACAAGGTGGAGAGAAGTAGAGGAGAACATCTGACATTAACTTCTGGCCATCAGTCCTGCATGTGCGCGCGCACACACACACACACACACACACACGCAGACAGACACACACACAATTAACAAGACTACAAAAAAGGAGGAGGAGGAAAAGAGGGAGAGGAAGAGGAGGGAAAGCACGGCGAGAAGTAATTCTTGAGTATCTGGAAGAGTTCTGCTAAATTCAGCTTTCTCTGTTTTCCTCTTACACGTCTAACTTCAGGCTCCTCATCTGTACAGTTAGGGGCACTGATAGCAGTACCTGCTTTATTGGGTGGTTATAAAGACGACATAAGTACAAGTGCTTAGCAGAACCTTCGGCATGTAGGCAATATGTGACAATTGATATTGTTTTCTCTTATTATTTTTAATATTGCTAATAGTCATATTGAATTCATATACCTGTTTCACATCTGCTGCCTGAAAACCCTGGCCGACATTTACAACTATATGAGTTTATCTCATCCAAACATGTGGCCTGGTTTCTACAGGGGTTGGATTGACATTCATTGACGTTCAGTTCACAGTGTGGCCCGGTGAAGCCTGCAAGGCACTGGCACCTGGAAGGAAATAAAGAGCAGTTGGAACTGTTGCAGGACACCATTGAAGGAGGTCTCCTATTTATGGCAACCTGTCTCAGAAAATTTTGAACCCTGAAATGCTGAAACCTATTTCCCACATCCAAATAATGCTCAGATTGTTAGTTCCTTTTCCCCATTCATCTGCTTAAACTTACTTAAGACAAATGAACTAGAAACACAGTGGCAAAAATAAAGTGGAAAATAGTTCTGGTCCAAGTGAAAGGTGATTTATACATTGTGAGTTCTTTCCCTGTAGAAGTTCTTAGAAAAACATAAAAAGCGAAGATACCATTCTAAAGCTTTGTTATATACTAAGCCATTTTTTTTTTTTTTTAGTAACGAGGTAACGATAATATTATTCTTATGTTACAGGTGAAGTTTGCTACAGAGGTCATTTGACCAAGTCCTGTTGTTACTGAGTGGTGAAGTGGGATTTTCAACCTTGTTCTTTATCATTGTGTCTGCCTCTGTGGTCCACAGCCCATCATTTACATCCACAGAATGAAATGCATCCAGCCGACCAACATGTTGTGAAATAGGAAATCTTGGAGGTTGGAATTACAACTTGACAGTGCCAAAGGAAGTTGAGGGCTTGCATCCTCAGAGCCCCGTAGATCTAGTCTCTGCTTGAGGCTCGCAACACACAAGAGCTACACAAACCTGTGGGTCCAGCACCGTTCTAACGGCGAGATTGAGGAAGGAGTCCCTGACATAATCATGTAAAAGGATACTAAGCAGTCTTGCGAGGAATGAGCCAGAACAAATATATCGATTTGACAGTACTTGAAAACAATATTGAGGGAGAAGTTAGAAAAGGGTATTGTGTAGTTTCATATCTTTTATCCAAGATGTGAGACTGTACTATATATTGTTTATGAAAATGATTTGTGGAATAAAATATAAACCCTGCGTAAGAATGACAGCAATTTCAGAATAGTGATTACCACCAGGAGAGAGAGAGAGAGAGAGAGAGAGAGAGAGAGAGAGAGAGAGTGTGTGAACTGGAGGGAATACTACTCTCCCCTTAAAACATTCCTTTAAAACAAAAGATGTGCAGGGCATGGTGATGCATACGTTTAAGCCTATTACTGGGAAGCAGAGGCAGGTGGATTTCTCTGTAAGACTGAAACCAACCTGGTTTACATAGTGAGTTCTAAGCCAGCTGTGGCTACAGGGAGACCTTGTCTCAACCAACCAAACAAACAACAAAAAACCCCCCAAATCCCAAACCTAACAGCAACAACAAACAAAAGGTGTGAACCAAATATGGAAAAATATTAAGATTTGACAATCATAGCAATAAATGCATGCCTTTCATTGTTCTTTGCAATTTTCTGTGTGACTAAAACAGTTTGTATTTAAAGAGGCTGTAACTCTCGCACACTCACATAGAGTCACCTTTGACATTGACCTAAAGGTGACTAATATGAATACATAATGTTTGGGGAGTTTCCAGAGAAATCTCAGTTGGCAGCGAGCGGTCATCTTTATGGTAAATCTAGGTTGTCTAGCATCTCATCTTTATCTGATATTACAACACTGCTGTGTCTTCATGCACGGTGTATGTTTACTTAGTCAACAATGCTACATTCCTTCTGAATTGACAGAGTTTGTCTTCTCCTTTCCTCTAGTAAGTATTCTAGATGAATTTGATAGTCTTCCATTGTTTCGGACCCTGGAGAAAATTTAACACGCTTATTGTTCATCTGGAAATTTTTTATTGCCTATAGTTGGTGCTCTATGTCAAAAGCCGTAACGCTCCCATGAGGCAATGCTTCCTCGGTAACACCTTATTCTACATTGAGAATACAAGTTTCATTGGCCTAACTGTATTTCTTGTTTTCTTTCTCCCTTCCTTCCTTCCTTCCTTCCTTCCTTCCTTCCTTCCTTCCTTCCTTTCTTTCTTCCTGTGCCTTGACTGTTTGTAGGAGGTTGCTAATAGGCCGGGGTAGAGTTGGAAGGGGACTGTGAAATGTTCCCACTGAGGTAGACTTTTATTTTTTCTTTTAACTTTGTAAACTTACAGAACCAGCAGCACTTTTAGGACCACAGCATTTCCTAAGATTTTAAGAGCAAGAACAGCTTGTTCTTTGCACTGCAGAGATGCTGTGTCCCTGAACGCTTGGGGATGGAATGAGGAAGTCTTAAAGATGATGGAAGGGTTTGCTTTCTCACTGCATTCTCCTGACACCCCAAGAGCAGCCTCAAGAAGACAAAGTCTTTCCTCAAGCACCACTATTTTCTTTTCTTTTTTAAAATTTTATTTTTATTTTATGTGCATGAGAGTTATGCTTGCATGTGTGCAAGTGCAATTCCTGAGGAGGACAGAGAGAGTGTCAGATCCCCTGGAACTGGAGCTACAAACAGTTGTTAGCCACCATGTGGGTACTGGGAACTGAACCCAGGTCTTCTGCAAAAGCAGTCAGTGTTCTTAACCACTGAACAATCTCACCAACTCCAAGCACCACTATTTCAACAACAAAAGTTTAGCTTTTATTTTATTTGTTTATGCTCATGTTAGATTTCTTTTGATGAAAGATTATTAAATATTCAAAAATCATGGATGTACAATGTAGGTGAGCCCTCAGGCCATATGCTCATGCAATCAGTTTTGATTTTAACTGTTCAGAGACCAGCCCATGTGAAGCATTTAAAAATAATGGTTTTAAAAGATAGTTTTAAATTTTTCTTTATGTATATGAGGAGTGTATTCCTTGCATGTATGGAAGTGCACCCAGGTGGTGCAGTACCCAAAGAGGACAGAAGAGGGTATCAGATTCCCTGGAACTGGAGTTACAGACAGTTGTTAGCCACCGTGTGGGTGCTGGGACCCAAACTTGGTGCTCTTAACCACTGAGTCATCTCTCTGCCTCCCCAATATAATGGTTTTGTATTGTACTGTATTTGTTTTTGTGTGCTGGAATGCATTTCCTTCTTTTGTGTGTATGGTCCTCTGTGGTGGCCAGAGGTTGATGTTAGGTGTCTTCCTCTATCATTCTCTAACCTGTTTTCCAAGACAGGGCTTCTCACTGAACCTGGAGCTCCAATTCAGCTAGCCTGACTAGCCAGTGTGCTCCAAGAACCCACCTATCTCCATCGTCTCAGCATGGGAATTACAGAGTGCTGCCACACCCTAATTACATGGGCGCTGAGGATTTGAGCTCATATCATCATGCATGCACAGCAAGCACTTAGCAACTGAGCATCTCTCTAGTCCCTCCTTTCATCTTTATGACCACCCAAGAGCAGAAGTTCCTAAGCCTGCCCATGCTTCAGAATCACAGAGAAATGTCAAACAACTTAGTTTGCCTACCTTCAAACTATGGGCTTGGGACTGGGAGTGTGGTTCAGTTCCTGCATTCAGGAACCTCTGGGTTCCATCCCCAGTACTGCAAAAAATCAGACATGGTGACATATGCCTGTAATTCTAGAACTCAGGAAGTGAAGATAGGAGCATCAGAAGTTCAAGGCCATTTTTGGAAGCCAGCCTGGGCTACATGAGACCCTATGTCAAAACAACAAAGGAAGAAAGAAACACCCTATATGCTTCCCTCTGGGCTTAGTGCTGCCTTCAAGTTGTGGGGAGGTTCTACTTGCTTGTCTTTGGGTCAGTATTTGAGAATAGCTGACTTGAGGCTTTGCAGTTAATACTCCATAAAGATTGCACAATGATTGAAGAGTCAAGGAAATGTCAAGTGAAAAGTCTAGGTGTGACTTTTACCTGAAACTGTTGGCACCATCTCTACAAGTGGCTCCATTTTGGCACGGCTGACTGAGACATTCGTCGATGTTTTTTTCACACCGAGTACCCAAAAATCCAGGTGGGCATTTGCACAAGAATCCCCCAACTTGGTCTTCACAAGCTGCATTATTCAAGCATGGGTTTGACTGGCATTCGTTGACTTCTGTTTCACAGTGTACACCTGCGGAAGGGGGAGGATGAGAAAGATCCCGAATGATTAACCTCTGGGAAAACTGGTCAAAGGCCTGAGGTCTTGGAAGATGCTGCACTTGGAGGAACAGGAGGGAGGCTGCAGGGCCACTGCCTGTCAAACCAGTTCAAGATCCATTCTGTGAGTCATTTCAGGACTCTGCAGTTTTGATAACTGGCTCTTTTTAATCTTTTTATCTGAGCAATGGGCACCCATTGTTTATAATTTAGTTGAAATTTTTTCTGTTTCTTTGACCTGTGCTTTTGCTTCACTATCCTTTTTTTTCTTGACTATCTTCTTTAATAATTAAGTACACATTTTAACCATATTATTTTTATCATTTGCAATATTCATTTGCAAAGTATATTATTTTGCATTCATTTCCACTAATTTATGAGTATTATTTACACGTCCCCAGTTCTTTATGAAAGTTTGTCTTGACACAAACTCATGAACATACATAGTATGCTCATAAAATATAAAAGTACCATTTATATATTATGTTAGTAAATGTATTAATTTTTATTTAGGGAATTTTAAGACAAAAGAGGAAGAATGGAAACTTCTTACCAATATATCCTTTCGTACAGGCACAGTGGTAGCTAGCCAAGCCATCAGTGCAGGTTCCTTTATTCCAACAAGGGCTGGAGCTACATTCATTTATGTTTTCTTCACAGAGTTGACCTGCAAAGAATCACAGTGTCTTTGAGCTAGAGAAACCTTGCTTTAAAAAACCAAGTTCTCAACCATTTTTTGGGTGTGATAACTGAGTATTGGAAATTATGGAAAATTAACCTGTGAAAACTTTTGCTCTTTGCCAAACACATTAAAAGAAATATTTCTCTTCCATTCTTTGAATTGTAAAAAAAATCAGCCAGAAACTTCACATATTTGTCATATAGTGGAAAATGACAACCACAAACACCCGACTATATTTTTACGTTCAGAAGGCATGATCTTGCCTAAATTGGCTTCTTGTATATATTTTAGTATAATAATTTCATAAGTTAGGTATTTATGAGAGTAGATTGCTTATATGAGCTCAATATCTGTCATAACAATATTATGAGGTTGTTAGTGCTTATAAGATCATCATAAATTATTTTCTATTTCATAAGACTCTATTACCAATATTAGAAGCATTATATTGTAAGTCAACAAGGGGATTGACAGGCCAATGTCTCTAAACTATTTTGGAGGGAGGGTATTGAAAGATGCAATTCTCTGGCTTAAGTAAAATACACACTTAAATGTAACTCAATTAAGTTAAAAGGAGAAGCAGAGCCTGTAATAACACAAATGACTGGTCAATAGTAATAGCACACACACACACACACACACACACACACACACACACACACCCCATCCAGAAATAAATACACACATACTTCATAAATATGGTGAAGTACTAAAGAGTTAAGAAGGGATCTTCTAGTTGTCTGGCATCCAGGGAGTATTTATGTGCTTCCTCTCATTGCCTGACCTCGAGCTCCATTTTTACACATGAAAAAGAGGTTCAAAGAAGTCAAGTAGATCTAAGGTCACATATCCAGTAGCCACAAAGGGGACCAGGTCTCTCTGTTTTATAAACCACAGGCAATTTCATACTGTCAAACTTACATCATAGCTTAACGAGAACAGAATTTTCCCAATGTATATAAATAATATAAAATATGACTTTTCCATATGTTTGTAATACCTTATTAATATATCCTAATAGTATAGTTTAAATTTATTTTGGTGATGAACTCTTAATGAGTCCAAGGCGTATACTGCAAAGACACAAGACTTACCCCTTACCTGTGTAACCCAATGAGCATTCACAAGTGAATCCTCCAACCCCATCTTTACAAATTCCATTGTTGAGGCAAGGCAGTGAGCTGCACTCATCAACATCTGTTTCACACTTTAAGCCTAAAATGCAAACCAAACACTGAAGGACGATCAAAAAAAGGGGAGTAACAAATATAACTGTGATCTTTTGAAAGTAATGATGTCTGTAATCTAGAGTGTGGCCAAGGGAAGAGCTAGCATCTAGTTGTGTTTAATGAAGGCACTACCTGTTTCCATATAGATTTCAGATACCTTACAAGACTGCATAGAATATAGCAAAATAGCTCAAATTACAAGTAGAGGATAGAGAGGGGAAGCTTGCAAGTGTAACCCAGAGCCGGAAATTATGCTAATTGTAAAGAGAAAAATGAAATCATAAATATTTTCTACCAAGGTCACCTGGTTCAAAGGGTGGAGATGAGGCCAACCTTTGCCAGGTCTCAGCTTTTTAACCAGATGCCCTAGAGCGGACAGCACCTTTCTATAGGATGCGCACAGGTTTTCTAAGGGCTGCTCTGCTGGAAACCCGTATCTTCCCTCTCCACTAGGGGGATTGTGACCTTCAGATCACTGACATCAGCTTTAACTTGGGACATATCAGAAACGCCATACTCTACATCTAGTGCATCAGAAATTTTGGGACTGTTAGAATCTCTGGGGTCCAGTGATCTGTACCTTAGCCAGTCTTCCAAAGAGCTATGATATACATTAATGTTTGAGAAGCGCTATTCTGTATTATGCCTTCTCTAAACTACTGCTCACATACACAATCCTTAGACAAGGCCCGTATTTCTTATGGAATGTCAGGACAAATTTTTTTTTATTAGAACATACACATGAGCCAACTGTGATAAGTAGAACACCAATATTCTTGACAGCTTTTGGCTACCTTTGGTTCCCCAAGTTTCTTTTTTCCTTATTACTTTTTTGGTAATTCCTACTTAAATATCATTTTTCCATTTAAGACTTTCAAAGTTGGTTGTATAATTTTCTTTTTAAAAGCAAAAACTATCTTAAAGAAAGCAGGGACTTGTTTGGAATTAATTATAATTTTAAGGTTAGCTCATTTCTTCCTAAAATTATTTCTGGACACAGCTATAATGTGAACCAAATTGTAAGTAAACATAATTCTTTCATAATTCCTACATGATCAAGTTCAAAGACATGTTGTTCCCCCAAAGCTGGGAACAAAGCAACAAATCTTAGCTGTGCACACAAACTTCCACAATTCTGTAACAGATGCAAGAAACTAGGAATTTGTTTTAAAATGTTTGTGCTGGGCAATGCTGACTGTCACATATTTAATTTGTGTTATTACAAAACCTTGGACGTGTCTCCTGGAACTTTATTCCAACTTAAATAATGAGTTATACTATGAGCTTTTCATAGTGAAGATGATTGTTTTTTCCTTCCCCCAAACTGTGCAAAGAAAACTGTTCAGTATGTATACTTTTGTCGTGTTCCACCCTATTTTACCCCACGGATACAGTCTAATGTACTTACATGATATATGCCTAGTAGTCCAAAGTTCGATTCAGCAGATACAATGATTTCATATAAAATATGTTAAAATTTGCATTCTTCTATGTTACCTGTATATCCAGGTGGACAGAGACAGACATATCCACGCCCAAGTTGCTGGCAGGTTCCACTATTGTGGCAAGGGTTTAAGAAGCACTCATGGAAAACCTACCAGTGGCAGAAAAGACATCTTTCAGAGATAAGTACTCAATTTATTTCAGAGCATTCCTACTTAGGGGCAAAAAGATTGCAGTGTTAGACAAATGGTTCCTGCTTCAGATAAGTTTGCTCAAGCTAACTGGACCACTGTCTGGATGAAGTAGGAACCTGTCATATATCAGCACAATGATGTTCAGTGATGTTCTGATAAACTTATGCAGTGTTCCCAAATGCTGGTTGCATGTTGGAATCCATTGCCCTCTAAGTTTGTATCTCTATAACTGTAGTTTAATTATTGCAGCTCGCCGATCTCATTAGAGAAATCTCTTGTGCAGTGGGCAGTGGTTAACAAAGAAATTCATAGCTGGTCAAAGCACAGAGAACAGAGTGCTCAATTGCAAATAGGACATCCGTATCATTCTCCCAATCCCCAAGGCTCAGGGACCATTGCAGAAGAGAGGGCCAAAAGATTGTAAGAGCCAGAGATCAGATAGACTGGAGTAAAGGCATGTCTTTTGGACATGACGGGAGTGCCACCTGTGGTTACTGAACAAGATCTGCACAGGATTCCAGTCAAAATTCTAGTGTGGAGGGGGAGGAGCTCATAAGCCTCCACTACTAACTGAGGAGCTACTGACAGTTGATAGCTTCTGAGTCAGTTTCCTTTAAGGATGTAGTCTCTGTTAGGTTGGTGTTTCAGTGATGGCCCCAAATCAATGAGTGTCTGGGCAGCACAAATTGGCCTCAGTTGGTTATGAAAAACAGAGGACATGAAGTTGGCAGGGGGAAGTGGGGATGGATCTGGGAGGAGTTAGGGGGAGGATTAGGGGGCGAATATGATAAAAGGCATTGTATACATATGTGAAATTCTCAAAGAATTAATGAAAATATTATAGTAAAACATATAAAAGAAAGAAAAAGAACGAAGTACAGGGTCAACTCAGCCCAGCTAAAACAGAAGTTCATACATGATTATTTCAAGTGGCCAGTGGATTCCGTCATACTACTACTTTGGAGGTCCCTACCGATTTCTATGTCCAACTGACAAAGCTTCAAATGTGATGTGTAAGTCACTCTGTTGTACTACAGGGAGTTGAAATAAGAAATACAGCTTCATTATCCTGAAAAACACTAAAGGCCAAGGGACTCATGACATGAGACGAGGCAAATTCAGAGTAATGGTAGAAACTATCAAAATATCAGACAACAGCACATCTTTACAAAACAGAAAGCAGGGCTGGACTGTAGCTGAGTAGTTCAACACTTGCCTGGAATGTGTGGGTCTCTAAGCTCAGTTCCCAGCACCACACACACACACACACACACACACACACACACACACACAAATGTAACTAGTTTAGTTACATTCCTGGGTGAGTTCCTGATTCTTTATATATTATTCCAAGAAATGACTTCTTTGGTCACGAAAATATGTAAATAATCTTGAAATGAAAGTTGAATAATTTTTTCTGTCTTTCAAAAAAAAAAACCTTTGGTTAAACCAAATACCCTTTTCCCAATGGTGAGTTATGCTTATGGTAAGTGTTAATTAGTGGATCAAAGTCTCCCACATCTACATACTGTTAAGCAGACATTTCTGAGGGCAAAACTCCCAATTTTGGTACTAAGAACATCGAATGTTACAGCTTTTGAAGTTCTTATTAAGAGTCATAAGAAATAAATTACTACTTTATAGTAATCCTGAGTTTGATTGAAATTTCAACCCCAATAGTCCTCTGTGATTTGTAAAATGACAAATTATTTTCTAAGCATTCCACTGAAGAAAATTTTCTGTGTAGGAAAAGGACTTGCCTGACTGCTGACTTCGTGCTGTTTTTGGATCTGCCCAGGGGACGGGAGGGGTACTATGCTTTCTTCCGCTGCAGAGAAAGTAGAGCTAAAACCTAACAAAACAAATAGGCAAAATGTCAGTGTGTAGTAGGTGAGGCTTATGATTAAACTCTCTCTAAACACTCTGATTAAGTTCTGGTTACAGAGTGAGTCAAGCCACAAAATTTTTGTTCCAGTCAAATTAAAGTAGAGAATATTGTCATGGGCGGCATGCCGTTCAATCCTGGAATCTGTGAAAGACATTTGGAAGTTACCAAGTGCAAGATTTCCCAAATATTTTTTCTAGCCATTGTCATCTAAAAGACCTTAAAAGAGAGAGCCACTGAGATGGAAGTTCAATCCTCAGGACACAGATGAAGGAAGGAGAGAATAGATTCCCGCAAGATGTCCTCTGACCTCCACATGAGTGCCAGCGTCTCTCTCTCTCTCTCTCTCTCTCTCTCTCTCTCTCTCTCTCCAGATAAATGTAATAAAAAATGTAAAGATCTTAGAGGGGACGAATTAACAGGTCCAGATATCCAAATCAGCCTAAAATGGTGATATTTAGAACTGAAGAGAACACAGGGCCAAGCAAAAGTCAGTTTCCAGCATGGAACTTGTAAAGTTGTCAACTTACTTGAACAATCCGTGATGGACCCGGCACCAGTGATGGTTGTAGTTCCATAAAAGGGGCAAGACAAGCAGAAGGACTTCCCTGGGTTGGGCTGGTAATAGTCTTGAGGACAGGGATAGCAGGGTATTAACCCAGAGCGGGAGAATTCTCCTACTGGACAGGGCACTACAGCGGTAAAAAACAGATTGTTCGTTTTTAAACTTTTGCTTGTAAAAAAGCTACTGAAATACATAACCTTTCACATACGTATTACCCACACTATCTTATCAACTGGCTAAATATTTCCTTCCTCTATTTAACAACATACTTTACTTATTAAAGTTTAGAACTGACCATGTAATATTGTACATTGATTTCTATTTAATGTTATTTATATCACCATATCATTCCCCAGATCGTTAAATCAGGTGATTTTTACGGTTGTGAGCCTGAGTCTTTAACAGCTGTACTGGCTCTCCAGCCCTAAATCAGTTGATTTTAATAAAGTGAAATATCACATCCCTTTGGCAGAGTGTAATTGATCTATGAGATTTCTACCATTGGATAGTTCTTTCTATTTGTTTGCTATTATAGTTAATGCTAAAGTGAAATTTTCTTTGTAGATCATTGTATACTGTTGAATTTGGGTAGCTCAATAGTTGGGTCTAATAGCATGAAAACATTTAAAACTACTGATGTATAATGCCAACTTATTTTTAAAAAGCAGCTCCAGCTTACAAGTTCCATCAGCAATGTGTGAAATTGTTCTCACGGCTTATCAGTATTGATGTTGATGTAAATTTCCTCATCAATTTGAAAATGGAATTATATTACTACTTTCAATTTTGCTTTGGAGGTACGCCATATAATTACTGAAGAATTTATTTTTGTGTGGTTATTTTACTTATTGGGAGATCTCTTATGTTTATTTGCATGTTAAGGATATGGGTACTTTGATATACTTAGAGCAAATATCTCTACCAGTTGGTCTGTCTGCTAAATTTTTAGCTGTCTCTGCTCAACAAGTAATTCATTTGCATTCCTTGTTTTTTAGTTTTATTTAGATTTTTGTTTTTTTCATTGGTTTCTTTTGAGGCAGTGTCTTCTTGCACAGTCCCCACCAGCCTGGTAACCACTATGAAGGGTAAACTGGCTTTGAACTTGTGACTATCATCTTGCCTCAACCTGGCAAGTGTTGGCATTGCAGGCATGTGGGTCACAGTAGCTCTTTATTTAATAATGAGTCAATATAAGGTAACAGATTTGCCTGAAGTATGGTAGATTGACAGTGTTTTCATTTGATTTAATATTTTATGAATAATGCATTTTAATTTTTGACCTAATTATTTTTAGGGACAATAGCTTAAAAAGTACAAGTGTTTGAAATATGCATTTGTTTGCTTAAATTTTTACTATTAATCTCCATTTTATTGTCTTATGGTTAGAAAATTTATACTATATAATAAATCTTCACTTTTAAAATATGGTGAGATTTTCTTTTTGAATAATATACATAATATTTAAAATATTAGCATAGTAAAATAAAAAGTATAATATATTATTAATTCAATCTTAGAAATCATATACTATAAACTTTATATATTCTTACCAATTGCCTGCTTGATCTTAGAAAATCCAATGAAGGTATTAAAATTTTCCATGAAAATTATATTTTACAAATTTTCCCCTGGGATACACAGGTTTTATTTCATGTATTTTAACATTATTATTTGATGACAAAAATTTATCATGACAAGCTTACATTATTTTGTAAATTTTGTAGCAAAATACTTTTCTCTCTCATAGGATACTATTTGGCTTTTGGAGTGAGTGGATTTTTTCATAAATCCAGTCTGCTACCACTGCTTGCTTTTTGTATTCATATTTCTGATGTCATTTTATTTTTAACTTTAGATAGTTATTTGGATTAGATTTTTTAAAGTAAAGAACATTTACTTAAATATTGTCATTAAATCAAATCTGAAATTGTCTTGCCAGTATTTGATAGAATATAAAATTACTTTAAAAAGCAGTCTCAGCATAATAGAAACTAGAATTTATTTATTCTTCTAAATAAATCTTGGTTGCACTTGACAGAGGAGTGGTGGGGTGGAGCTATCACAGCTTAATCCTTGATTGGGTTTCAGATTGTTACCTCAAGATAAATTTGGGTGAAATATTGAGTCCTAAATATTAAATGCTAAGGCTATTATATGCTGAGAAAATAACCAAATAAGATTCAAGCAGGAGGATTGCCATGAGCTGGAAGCCAGCCTGGGCTAAATAATTACATCCTGTCTCACAAAAGCAGCAACAATTACAACACATCATCAACAGCAAGGCTTTTACTATGAAGAGGTATAAGGAGTGTATAACATTGATGACTGTGAGATGGCTCCTTTAAACATATATTGACCACGTTCCTTCATCCCCAAAGGCAATACTTTTTTTAAATTGAATTTTTGCCATTTTCATATAATTTGATGGTTTAAGGATCCCCTCCCCTACCCACAACTCCCTTTATTGCCCCTCACCCGATGTAATACACTTTATTATAGAGACACTAATTTGTGCCTCCATATGTCCTTCAGTGTGGGTCCAGCCACTGGAGCCTGGTTAACCAAGAATTCCATGCTTATAAGAGATTGTCTCTGCCCCTCCTAGCAGTCATCTGTTCAAAGGCAGTACTTTTAATACATTATTGCTTCCATGTAGTATGTATTTTATAAATACAACAATAAAAAACTTAAAAAATTAAAAGAAGATTCATCTGTGTAACTCTAAGTATGGAAGACAGAACACAAAGAAGTAGCTATTAAGTTTTGAATTCTTGATAGTAAAAGTCCAGCAGAAATAATTAGCAATTTACTTAAAGAATTTAGAGATGCACTAAGCTTCAGGGGACTTATTCCAAGTAATGGCATCTCTTATTTATTGGTATGAGCAAACAGGAGAACATTTGTGATACTCTTAAGAAGTTTAAAGTTCTTAAGAAAATGAACACTCTAAATCTCATAAAGAGCTGTTTCGTAACCAATCTACAAAATGTCAAGAGTTTCAACAAAAGATAGATAATTCAACAGACATGAGTGCCAGCTTAGAAAAAGTTATTGTAGATGCCTTTGTTCTATGAGCAAAGTACTTTCCAAATGAATCTTTGTTTCATGAAGAACAAGTGGTGAGATCCCACTTAAGTTCTACACAGAAACCTGCTTTGCACAGATAAACTGCAAGTCTATTGAGTTTAAGAACCCTTCATTTTCAAATAAGATTGCCTTTTTGGAAAAGGAAATTCCTAAACACCTAAATAAATTAATCCATTAAAAGTATAAGTTACAAAATGGAGATATAGGGGCTGGAGAGATGGCTCAGGGGTTAAGACCACCGGTTGCTCTTTCAGAGGACCCAGGTTCCACATGATGGCTAACAACCATCCAGAATTCTAGTTTCAAGGGATCCAATACCCTCATCTAACTTTCACAGGCATTGCACAACATGGCAGGTAACAACCGTCCAGAGCTCTAGTTTCAGGGGATCCAATGCCATCATCTAACTTTCACAGGCATTGCACAACATGGGTGCACTCACATACATGCAGGTGATACACTCATACACATAAAACAAAAATAAATAAAATATCTGAAAAACAAAATGGAGATATAAAATTTGTATTAATGTATGAAGGTATAAAACCTCTGAAGGAACAAGTGGACATTAAAAGCTAGAAATATAAATTCTGTCAGTAAAACTCATGATGTTATAATGAATTAAATTAAAAAAATTTTTTTGCCAGGCATGGTGGCACATGCCTTTAGTCCCAGCACTTGGGAGGCAGAGGCCGGCGAATCTCTGTGAGTTCGAGGTCAGCCTGGTTTACATAGTGAGTTCCAGGCCAGCTGGGGCTACAGGGAGACCCTGTATCGAAAAAGACCCCCCAAAATATTTTTCAGCACAACCATAGTCTTCAAAAAGAAAAGATTATATTTCTAAAAACTGACAAGTGTCAAAAATTATGCTAAGACATAGCAGTAATAATAAGTTGACATTAAGAATAAATAAACGTCTTGGCCTCCCCAAATACTTAACAAATATTGTGATGTGTCTACTTTTTTTTCTTTCAATACTAGGGATTGAACCTCTAGGGTCTTGACCATGCCAGGCAAGTGCTTTACCAATAGGCTACATCCCCAGCCCTCTACTTTACTTTTTGACATAGAAAGTGGAAAATAAATTTGCATGTGAAAATTAGTCTAAATTATTTTTCAAAGACAGACAGTTGTCAGGAGAAATTTACTTTCAAGAAGTGGTCAGTTGACACGAATATATTATCGACAGTCTGACTTATTTTCCATCTAATGAATATGCAAAAGTATTATGCATGCAATAGAAACAGTTTGATATTTTCCATGACTAGACATACAGGTACAATACTGTCTTGTGAAGCTGGGCTGTAGCTGTTCACGAGCTATGCAACTCCCAGGAGGCTGTGTGATCAGGAGGATAAACAACCTGTACTCTACAGTGGGTCTTGTTAGCTTCAGTTATGCTAGGTGCATCAAGTGTATTTTTCCACTCACCATATTCAGATTCATTGGAATGAGACACAATTGTAAACCAAGGAATATTTGCATTTCTACATGCAGTACGCACAGACACACATGTATAGCATATATGAACAAGCATTCATAGTAGCGCTTTCTAGTACACAATATAAAACTAAACATACACAGAATATACAGTTCTTAATGTGCTAGTCATGAAGAAAAATGGGAGGGGAGAAATTTCACTTAGTATCAATATTGATATTAAAATTAAATTTAAAACCATGTTCTGAAATGACCAGGAAAAAATATTATCCCATACGTACTTTTACTGATGGTATTTTTTTATCTGTCTTTTTGAGACAGGGTCTCCCTATAGCCCCAGCTGGCCTGGAACTTACTGTGTAGACCAGGCTGGCCTCAAACTCAGAGATCTGCCTGCCTCTGCCTCCCGAGTGCTGGGATTAAAGGTATGCGCCACCATGCCCAGCTTTTACTGATGGTATTAAGGACAGCAAACACAGCCATGTAGCTCAATAGATTTTTGCCCTTTAAGAGGGTTTACTGACTACACTTAATATTATATTACATACTAGAAATTTTCCAATGGCATAGATTTCAGGTGTTCTTACTACACAAAAAGGCATAACAATCAGAGAAGATGGGAAGTGTTCATTTGTTTGGCTGCAGTATGCATACCATTATAGGTATCAAAATATGTTGTGCTGAGCATGGTGGTGCACACCTTTAATCCCAGCACTCAGGAGGCAGAGGCAAATGGATCTCTGTGCGTTCAAGGCCAGCCTGGTCTACATAGTGAGTTCCAGACCAGCTGGGGCTACAGGGAGACCCTGTTTCAAAAAAAAAAAAAATGTTGCAGCCTTAAATATGCTAAAATGAATAAATTAACACACTAATAGGTTTCCAATTGCAAAACGAGAGTTCCGAGCATGCTTTTAACTTGATCCTAAGGGGTCAGAGTATCATTCTGGTTCAAACAAATTGATTCTTGTCCTATGGGACAGACATATTAACAGTGGCAACAAGATGCCATTTGTGGAACTGAAAAATTTCAGATTATTGTAGTCATAAGCCAAAGGATATTTCATGAGCTAGTAAAATATGTTTGCATATAATTCTTTTAAAATATTTTATTTTCATTATTTTTATTTTATTTTTGTGTTTGAGTGTATTACCTGCATGCATGTAAGTGCAACTGTGTTGTGAAATGATCATGAAGGTCAGAGAGGGTGTTGGAGCCCCTGGAACTGGAGTTATGTACGGCTGTTAGGCACCATGTGGGTGCTGGGAACTGAACCTGGGTCTTCTGCAAGAACAATCAACACTCTTAACCACTGAACCATCTCTCCAGCCCCACATATAATTCTTATAGTGAATAATAATAATTTATTTTGAACATATCACACATAAAAAGTGGTATTTTGGCAAAAATAAAATAACATAACTATAAAAAGAAATCAATCCAGGAAGATGGAAAATAACAATAAAGAAAAATGAAAGGAAGGAAGGAGGGAAGAAGGAAAGGCAAAAAGAAAGAGAGAGAGAAAGAAAGAGAAAGAACGAACAGAAGCAAAAAGGGAGCTGAAAACTAAGAAAAAATATAAGGGACCATTTCAAAGTCATAGATAATTCAACTTCAAATAAAAGTGTTTTTCCAACACCACAAGAGAGAGTTGAGTTATTCCTGGTTCTCACCCATGACGAGAAGAATGTGGTCAAACTATGCTAGGAATATTAGGAGATATGGGGGCAGTTACCAGAATTTAGCTACATTCTGGGAATTATAACTGCTTAATTACAAAGCTAGTGGTAGACAAACCTCAAGGCTTATTTAGAAGCTAAAAGAAAAAAAAAAAAGTCACATATGAATTTGTTTCGTTACAAAAATCCCAGTTGCTTTTGTGGTTGAAGAAACTGGGATAGGGCAGAATTAGTCTACTGCAGACATTCTTCCAAAATATTAACAAAATAAAAGAGTGTCTAGCAGACCTAGTTCAGCCATAATGTGGAGCCTCGTTTGACCTTTAAATAAAAGAAATCGAATACTGCTTTTACACAACAGACAGGGTTTATAGGTTTCAACTGTGATCTAGAAAAATTCTCTTCTCAGTTCTTCATTGAAACAGTAGGTTGATAAATACAACTCAAGTAAATTTTCAGGCATAAGATATTTCTGCACTATGATCCTAGTAGACTGAGATGGTTTAAGCAGATCGAGTTTATATAAAACCTACAATTATCTGTAATCAACATATATTCTCTCCTTTTTCCTATGGCACTTAACTTGTAAGGATTGTATCTCCTAAGATGCAGCACTGGACACACCCCTTCCAGCACCACATGAACTCACCACAGAGCTGATTCCTAGGAACCTCAGTTTCTTATTAGATGTAGTTGTATGTGGATGGAGTTCAGTGAGGATAGGAAGTATCTGAATCTACCTGTTTAGGTGGCTTGGGGAGGTAAGGAAGCAGCAGGCTGATGTTTAGGAACATCACTCTTCCAGTAAGAGAATACCTTTTTAATCTCTGGACTGGCATAAAGCTTCTGTTTTTAAGTAAGAGCATAAACAATGGAGAGGACACACACGTTTAAAATCATCACATGGGCACACTTGCTTTATCTGCTGTGATGCAGCAAAGGGAATCCATCAACCTCTTATTTAAATACAGTTCTGCCGGCTTTACAGAGTGGTTGCACATTTTTAGAGTTTCTGGTAACAGGGTGACTCTGTGTGTGTGTGTGTGTGTGTGTGTGTGTGTGTGTGTGACTCTTTCACTGAACTCGGAGCTCGTCACTGACAGGACTAGTTGGTCAGTAAACCCTAGAGATGTTCCTGTGTCTACGTCCCCAACTCTAGGATTACAGGTGTGCTATCACATCTGGCTCTTTATATGGCTACTATTGATCTGAACTCAGGCCCTCATGCTTGTAGAGCAAGGGTTTAATCACTGAGCCATCTCCCAGCCCCTAAAAAACTGGTTTTGACTGTCAGTCCTGGTTTTGTGGTCATTTATCATTTTCATCTTTTATTTTTGTTTACATCTTTGGGAAGTTGAATTACTATACTCACGGTGTTAAAAATATTCACAAAGTGGAATGCTGATCTTTTCATTTCTACTTAAACCAGTGGCTTTCAAAACATGATCCCTAGACTAGTGAAAATGAGCATTACCTGAACACTACCTCGAAATGCAAATTGCCTGATCCTGCCTTAGACCTGGTGAATCAAAACTCTGGGAGTAGGGCCTAGAAATCTATTTTGCTATCATACAATGAAGCCATGCATTTATTACTAAGGCTTGAGAATAAACCTTGCACTATTTTTGTATTCCCAACAACATGAGCCAGGTGTTTCTACTGAAGTGGACTGGCTGCAAAAAAGGAGCACTCCATGAAGAGGCGGTTTATTCACATTCTTCCCATACTGTTGACATATAGCTTCGCTGAAAACATTCCACTCCTCCATGCAGAGAAGCTGTCAGATGTAAATAAACATCAATATCTAAAGCATTAATGATAACCTCCACAAGCAGAGATGTCCACAGCTCCCCTCTTCACGGTTGTAGTGGGTTCTGGACATAAGAGGCAGCTCCGGGATCCAAATTCCGGTTGATAGGTACCCAGGGGACATGATTCACAGGTCTCAAGCCCATTGGAGGAGTAGGTGCCTTGTTTACACTGAGCTGAAAAGAAAAACATAATTCAGTGAGTAACAAGGAGATCAAGCCACTCAAAATTAACTGTGCTCAGGTTCCTCAGTTTAATACGGGGCAGAAGGAAAGATGGGATGTACTCTTCCTCCCTAGGCAATCTCACCTTGTTTCTGGTACTACTAAGCTTTAGACTCACATCCACTTATTTCCATTATTACCTGTCAGTGTTTGAGCCATACAGTGTGTTAAATAAGTAGTCCTATTGATGAAGATCAAAGTAGACACCATAGTCAGGCACGGTCATAAGAAAAAGTTGTACACTGGGAAAGTTGTGTGAAGATAATAGAAATAAAATCTCAACTCGGGCTCCAGCCTTATAACCACTGGAATATCTCACATCTCCGAATAAGAGTGGGCTCCATTGCTTCCTCCTGCTATTTCATTTGAGGGCTGACTCCAGGGCACTGTCTTTTCCTTCTACCTATACAATGACTCGTTTTCTGCATTGCTAACATTTTTAGTGTCTTTCTATTTACCTGGCATTGTCCTGGAATTTATATTTCTCATCAACAGCTGATATTTCATTTGCAACAATAGCGAGAAATATTTTTTTATTTATTATTTTTATTTTATGTGTATGAGTGTTATGCCTGCATGTAAGTAACTGCACCCGTGTCATGCAATGCCCGTGGAAGACAGAAGAGGCTGTCAGATCCCCTGGAACTGGAGTTATGGACAGTTGTTAGCTGCCATGTGGGTGCTGGGATTCGAACCCAGGTCTTAACTGCTGAGCCATCTCTCCAACCCCATGAGGGATAATTTTTAAATTCCTTATGTGAGGTGTGTCTTCTGTAACCTTATTTATGAAAGAAAACTTTCCAGCAAAAACCTCCATTGAGAAGAATAGGAAAAACATTTGGAAAACATTGCATATCTTAGTAGCAAGGATATGAGCATCTGCACCTATTGCAATTCATTTCCAAGTCAGTAGATAATTTCTTATCACATCAAATACTATTCTAACAAAGCGAAAGCTCATGATTATTAAGTTTTACGAAAGTTCTTTCTACTAAGAATTGAGAGAAAGGTTCAGGTTAATCGATGAATGTGGATTGAAGTTTGACTTCGAAGAAGGAAATAGCTCCAAAAGGAAAGATAAACAGCTTCTTTCGAATGGGGAAAAGTTCAGCTAGTACTTTATGACTAAAAGAAAGAAAGAACACATAAAATCCCTTTCAATAATGTTATCTCATCCTATTCTCCATCTCTACTGCTGAATTTTGACAGGACAAAGACCCCTCTACCCCAGGTACCTTGGGTACTGAATATTTTAAGCTGAAGGAACTTGAGATAACTGCAGACACAGGAAGGCCTCTCTGAACTTTTCCAGCCTTTTTTCCCCTCACAGTGGGTCTTAAGATCGTCATGTAAGAGATGTGTATTCTGCTCTGCAGAGCAAAGGAGCATCCTTATCTGAAGATACTACAACACATGGAAGAATCCAAACAAACAGGCCCTTCTAGCACCCTTCTATTTTATTACCATTGGGTCACGTTCTCTTTGTCACAGTGATTCACCTCTTCATCAGACTTACCACAACATACACAGATTTCTTATTTTCTGTGGGTCTTTATTTCTAAAGAGTTCAGTGACACATAAAGCTTAGATTAAATGAATAAAATCTTCCCTTGTTAATCTTTTGTTACATGAGCCTTGGCCAAAGCTATGCACAAAGTCCAGGATGTCTCTGGTCAAAGTGTCTACTAAGCCTCTACCTTTGCATTCAGAGATGCTTCTGGAATGGAGATACTCAGTGTGAGTCCCAGGGGGACAAAGCTTGCATGCCAGTTGCCCTTCTTCATCTTGATAGGATCCCATCTGGCAGCTTTCACAGACAGAATGCTCCAGTGAATAATAGGTCCCCAGAGGACAATTGACTGTGGAGAAAACAACCAGGAAATACTGAGTCAAGCCCCGTGGCCATCCTTTAGTTCTTTGTATTTCTCTATGAAGCGTGCTTCTAGGCACTGTTGTGCTTGAGTTAAAGTTTACTGCCAGAGTTTTATAGACAAGGTGAGTAGACCCTCCAGAAATATATTTCTAGAAACCAATAGTAGTGGAATTTTTTTTTGAGATGATGCAAACTTTCATTGACCAATAATCTTAGGGTTTCTCTGATGGAGTTTTAAAGAATGAAGGAAAATGGTGATAAACCAGAACATTATAGAAAACACAACTAACAAAGAAAATGCCACTTTCTTCTTCTTCTCCTTTTTTTTTTTTTTTTTTTTTTTTTTTTTTTTTTTTGGGTCCTTTTGAGACAGGGCATCCCTGTAGCTCCAACCAGCCTGGAACTCACTATGTAGACCAGGCTGGCCTCAAACTCACAGAGATTCACCTGCCTCTGCCTCCCGAGTGCTGGGACTAAAGGCGTGCACCGTCACGCCCAGCAGAAAATGTTTCTAGAAGAATAAAACAATGAATACTTAGATGAACTTGATGTTTTGTGAATTGTCCCTCTGCATGATGCCCTGTATGAAGCTCACTGCTTGTCTATTACAGTGTTATTTCTAAAGACAAAAATCAAGGCCCAGCTGTAAGACTAAAACGGGCGAGTAAAGCAGAGCCTTGAATGTGCTTCCAGTAATCTTTGCCTTCTGAAGGTGTGTTTTGGGCATCCCTCAGACCTAAAGGCCCTAGGAAACAGGGAAATTTTAGAATTTTTCTTCTTTGCAGATTTGATCTAGTATTTGGTAGGTTTGTAGTGACTTGGAAATTCTGAGGCCAAAATGGAATGGTTAAACTCATTGCTGTCAGATTGTTCTGGAGAAACCCTTGCAATTAATACCAGGTGATTTGGAGATGTTAAAATACAGCCATTACCTGGATGCTTATTAAAAATAGATTCCCAATTCTCTGTCCTTAAAGTGTCAGGTACACAGTTGTCATGGCTTCATGCAAAAATACATTCACAAGCATTGTAAGCGATGCCAGCACAGGCAGTCTGAAGACCACACTGAGAAATGAATGATCAACAGCCTTCAAGGGGAATCCTGATTGTTCGCAGAAAGTGAAGAAGAGACCAGAGCAGGCTCATAGTGACAACTGTAATATGGTTTTGTCACACTAGAGTAAACACACAAGTGAGCTTTTGGGAGGGTGGTGAGAGCTGCCAAAGGACAGCCCGCAAGAGCCATGACTGAAGACAGATTAACACGGGGTTCCTGTCATCCAGTGTGTTCAGGTGGATGCAAGATGATGGCTTTAGGAAACGAGTTGGAATTTATCCAGATTGTGGCACTGAAAAGTAGGGGTGAAGGGGTGGGGAGTGGGGGTGGGGCTCAGGGAGTGGGAGGTCCCATTTAGTGGGTATGGGAGATTTTGAGGATGTTCCTGATAGGAGCATTTGTTGAACACTGTGGATGTGCTTAATGACACTAAATTGTCCACTTTAAATTGGTTATTTTTATGTTATGTGAATTTCATCCCGGTTGAAAACAGTAAAGACCTTGGAGTTGGCTGTGTGGGTGGGGATCTCTGCCACAGCACTCATTATCTTAATGGGTGTGTTCTATACTTCTCTGGCTTTGGTTTTCTCATCTGTACTGTATGTTTAATAGACATGGCACCTCATGGAGATGCTGAACAGGATTAAGCAGATGTTTGCATATGTATATGAAGGTGGTAAAAAATGAGAATTACTGTTATGGGAGCTATTGTTAAAAGCTACAAGTTTTTAAAAAATTATTTATTTTCATTTTTTAATGTGTACGAGTGTTTTGCCTGCATGTATATAAGTACACCTGTGTTGTGTAAAGTCAGCAGAGCCAGAAGAGAGTGTTGGATATCCCAGCACTGGAGTTATAGACAGCTGTTAGATGTTATATAGATGCCGGGAATTGAACCCAGGTCCTCTGCAAGAGCAGCCAGTGCTCTTAACCACTGAGCCATCTCTCTAGCCTCTAAGTTGTTTTTTAAAAGATTTATTTTATTTTTATTTGTGTATGTGTGTGCATCTTTCTCTCACTCTCTCTGTATGTGTATGTATGTTCATATGTGTGCATGTATGTTTTTGTGTGTGTGTGCACACCTGTGGAAGCCAGAAGAGGGCATCATATCCTCCCTGGAGTTAGAGGCTGTTGTAAGCCACCAAGTATAGGTGCTGGGATCCAAACTCGGGTCCTCTGAAAGAGCAGCAAGCACCCTTAACTTCTGACCCATCTCTCCAGCCCTGAGATAAGGTTTAAAGAGCTACAGATAAAAATTAGATTTGTTTCCCTCACAAAAAATACTTTCCTTGTCTTGAACAATAAAGGTTACTTAGATTCTTGAGACAATTTAATAACAATTACACAATAGCAAACTGTCTGTTGTGTATCAGTATTCTTTTGTACACACTTGGAAAATGGCTCTAACCAACCCGTTTGACCCAATGCACACTAATTATCTGGGACCCCAGGGGACGACTGTCTTACCACACATGCGCCCCCTTAGCACAGAGCCTGGCCTGCAGAAGAGAAAAGCCTTTTCTGTTTCCAGGGAATTACTGTCGGCCACCAGCATTTCTGAGGCAAGCTGGAAGGAATACATGGGTTCTTTATTCAAGGTCCTTCTCAGGCGATTTGTGATTGTTTCCAATGTCTTAATGAGTCGTTGCTGATTTTCCAATTCAAGGGTATCATTTCTTTCATCTGGTAGTGGCACACTAGCTGAGATAAAAACAATAAATTAAATACAACACACCACACACACACACACACACACACACACATTATAGTTTTCACCCTCAAAGTAATGGTATCTTAAAGTTGTTCAGGAAAAATTAATTCAGAATAAATTCAATTAGTACTCATTGGATAAGTTGCACATGGATAATATTAAGAACAATATAGTTTGTTTGAATCCTTCTCTCAGATGTTGGATCAACATCACACATGGAGGGAATTCATCATTGCAGTGCATAAAATTGTTCTATATTCTTGCATTTAAAAAAGACGTCTCAGTTCATCATGGTGAGATACAAACAAAGCAAGGTGTTTGTTACTGAGAGGACCATAAAATACATGATGATTTAAACAGCAAAACAGTGGCAAAGTTTCGTTTACTGTGTTCTTTCACATCTAGGGTTATTTCCCAATAAACATAACACATGGGAGATTTGAAAATTGGCCTTCCATGCATAGAGCTGAAGGATATATAACAAGAAACAGTGCCAGACAGGAAAAGCCTCCCTTCAAGTTGTTGCCCAGCATAGTCCAAGAGATTCCTAAAATTACACAGGCTATTGCCACAGCCCTTGATTTCTTCCCAGAACTTGAAGGTAAGGCCCTATTTCTGAAGACAGGACATACTTTGGACACAGGATGTGAAGCAATGGAGCTGGAACTGACCTGGAAGCACCTCCCTGAAGACTAGCTCTCATAGTTTCGGAGAACGCTATGAAAGCTGCTAAGGGAGAATATCAATCAATGGTCCAACCCCAGTTGTAAGGCCTAATAACCACAACAATGACCCGCACAGCAAGCTACCTTGGGGCAGTAATTGTACTTTTATCTCGAGGGTAATCAACAGCTACCTACTTGGACTTAAAGCCCAATCCTAAATTTGATCTTAAATTACTTGTGTGAACAGAAAGTTTATCCTTACCTGTGATATTAAAAATTAACTTAATTTTGTGGTCAGATGATGAGACACTTCTTTTAATCCGTGCTGATCTGGCTTTGCTCACACCTGTGGGTGTTTCTTGCACAACATCTAGGAAGTCATCATAAGAGTAATCCAGTCTGTTAGCTGCACCCCAGCCCCCTGGTCCTGATGAGAATTGGGGCAGAGAAATAAGTGTTCAAACAGGTGTATCTTTGTCATCACTTAGGTTCTAATGCTATGTCACAGGTCGAACTGCCCTTGACTATTCACTCAGTCGTTCATGGGTTACCACATGTGGAGTTCAACCCACAGCTTTCTATTTGTCATTTTTGTGCGCTTGATATTTAATTTAGATTACTAATGCACTATGCTCTTACCCAGGACAGGATGTAGGCATTTGTAGCATCTTTCAGTGAATAGGTAATTATTCTCATTTAGGAGATAGATTGAGAATGGGTACAAGATTTTAATCAGTGCATTATTTCTCTTCCAGACTTTACTCCAATTAAAAATGTTTATATAAATTAAGTGCACATGAGCATATTTCCTTCGAGAAGGCAGCTATGCTCACCACTACACCACCAATGCAGATCAGATTTCCTTTTGTAAATAATGTGTAGAACATCTGCCTCGTATTTTAAAGATGGAACAGTTGTCAAAGGCAGCACAGAAATAAATATTTGCAGCATGAGAAAAGACAGGGATGTCTTTAAACACTTGCTAAGTGCCCTGGATGTCCTTGTGACTAACAGCCAGGCATCAGACTGTGCTTTGTGAGGTAAGATGCATGGTTGTATAACCATAGTCAAATTGCCTTCACCTTTCTGAACTCTGATTCCTTCATATGGAAATGGAGATAATGAACCTTACTTCATAGGGCTGTCTGTCATAGATGAGACAAATTATATAAGCCAGCTGGCTTAATATCCAACTCATTATCAAACCCCCACAAGTGTATTGATTTTGATCTGGGCCACACTGATACTTAATTATATTCTTTAAACAATAAGTTTTATTTGTAAGCCTGTTCACTTAAGTAAATTTCTTTCAGATTTTTAGCTTTATTTATGTATTTGGCTATTAGAATAATCTGGGATCAATATTTTTCTTATTTCAGGTACATATTTTTCTACAAATACTATGTAGCCATTATGGAAAACTGATTTACCATCCTTAGGAAAGCTTTGATAAAAAATTTCAGTCTACTTGGAGAGCCCCTCAAAATTCTGCTTAGACTTAGATGTTAGACTTAAATTAATTGGGTCTTGGGGCTGGAGAGTCGGCTCAGCAGTTAAGAGCACTGACTGCTCTTGCAGAGGACTCAGGTTCGATTCCCAGCACCCACATGGCAGCTACTAACCATCCTTAACTCCAGTTCCAGGGGAATCCGAAGCCCTCTTCTGATCTCCGCAGCATTGCATGACACAGGTGCACTCATATATATGCATGCAATACTCATACACATAAAAGAAAAATAATAAGTAAAATATTTTAAAAAATAATTGGGTCTTATAATTTAGGTAAGAAATATGAATATTTCCCATGTGTAACTACTTTAAATTGATGGCTGAATTGCAATGTCAATTGAATGTTCTATAAAAATTATTCCTTAAGTAACTTACAACTATTGTGATTATATTCTATCATAGCCTATTACTTTCAAACTTTTCCATTGCAGTGTGACTTTTATCCTACAGTTTTGGCTAGTATTTTGAAATAATTTATTTTGTACCAAAAGCCAAGATATCCATAACGAATTAGCACATGATCAGATCGTATAGCCATCCTAAAACACTTGATAAATACATTTTCTATTTTCCACCACTCTTATGGAATTATTTTGCAAACTGGCAACACTAAATAACGTAATTACCGATTGCAAAGCCATTTTCATAGTCATAATTATATTCTATGCAGTATTTTTTGGTCAGCTCCTCCAGTCTGCAGTCAATGTCGCCAGCATCACTACAAAATGATGGGACCTGGAAATGAAAATGAAGAAAAGACGTGGAGCTCACATCTCTGTGTGCTTCCAGTGAACCCCAAGTTCTTCCCCTGGCCTCTGCATCTCCATCAGCAGAAGAGTGAAGGCTCTGCATGTCCCAGAACTCTACATGGTGTGAAGTCTTCTGACCCTTCCTCTCTCCTCCCCTACAGCATCTCGCTGATTCAAACCACCAAGATTAACCTCATGCTTTCTAATTTCCATTTATGTTACTCATCAGAAGTCCAGGGACTCCTGGGATATCTCTGCTCTAGACTGTCACCCCATAGGTCCTTCAATCCCTCTTTTTCTGATGCTATCTCTCACCCCTCTCCCAGCCCCCCAAGACTTCCTCTGTGCCCTCTGAAGCTCAGTCAGTAAAAGGACTAACTTTCATATCCTATTTTCTCTATATTCTCTGCACTGCTGTTCCAAATGAAACTCAACTGCCTGGGTTTCTGGGAATATTAGAAATTCTAAGTCCTGGTGTTCTGAGTAGGTCAGAAGTGCAGGAACTCTCCTCATTCTTCCTTTCTATTTCCAGAGCATGTTCCCTTGTGCCTCTCTGAAGCCTCCCAGCTGTCCACCCTGCCCTCACTGTCTCTCCCTGTGACAGTCATCTGCAGCATTTCCTGCTCAGCATCACTCTTGACCCTGGCAGGTCCTTCCATAGCCTCATTCAGTGTTTCCTCTTCTCTAGCCCTCCAGTGCTCTGACTTTGCCCCTCATCCCCGAATGTCACCACCAGCAGGTGCATCTTCTCCTTCTCTCAGGAATCTTAGCAATTCTTTGACCTCCCTGAAGTTTACAGTCTATGGACTCTTCTCTCTTCACTCTTCCCTCAGCCCTCCCATCTTCTTGTATCTATCTTAGATTCCATGGTCCATCCCCATTAAATGCATCCTCCCTAAATACCTCCTTTGCTTGGAGAACCCTTAAACTTGGTGGAAGCAATCACTTTCCATTCTTATCTGTCCCTACAAGGTTGGTGATGGCTGGAGAGAATCCACACCCTACTTTTGCCAGTCCAATTACATTTCTTTTGTATATTCATTCAAGGTCATTCAGGCCTCCTAGAAAATTGCTTGGGAGCATCTTCCTCAAACTTCTAACATAGTCTCCACATTTTTACACACAGTTGGTTATTTTTGCCTCACAGGTAAACAGAAGTCAATAAAAATCCTCACAGTCACTTCCACCCCATGGGCACCCACTGCCTGCATCGTGCTCTTATCTGCTCAGCATCCATTCCTCTTTCCTTCCTCTCATAGTCCAAATCCAATCCACCAGTGAGAGTAACAGAATCTATGCTCAGAATCTATCCAAATAATCACTAACCTTTCACACTGTCATTACCACCCAGACACCACTTCTTTCCTGTTTCCGTTTTCTCTGTAGTCTTCTTTTTAAAAAAATATTTTATTTACTATTTTTAGTTTGTGTGTATGAGTGTATTGCCTGCATGTAACTGCACCCATGTCATAACAATGTCCGAGGAGGTCAGAAGAAGGCATCAGATTCCCTGAAACGGGAGTTACGGACAGTTGTTAGCCACCATGTGGGTGGCTGGGAACTGAACCTGGGTCCTCTGCAAGAGCAGCCAGTGCTCTTAACCACTGTGTCATCTTTCCATCTCTTGTCTGTGGTCTTCTTAGATGCCTCCCACTCTCTGCCTGTATTACTAGCCAAGGTCATGAGAAAATCGGTCCATTTCAATGACTTTCCATCTCAAAGGATAAGGTAAAGTCTTTGCACGGATTTTCATAGCTCTCTATACTCCAATTCCTTCTTTCACCTACTTCTGTGCCCCATGTGATCTCTGAGCATCTCCTATCTTAACCCTAACCCTAACCCTAACCCTTTGCCCCATTACCCTACCGCTCTGAACTCTATATAGTGGCTCAAATTCCCAAACACACTTCTGCCTCAGAGCCTCAGTGCTTGCTTCTTTCTCTGCATGAAATACTTCAGTATGTGTGCATCATACTGTCTCATCTCTTTAGGCCTCTTTTCATATAGGAAACCTATTGGTGATGTTTCCCCATAGTCTGGTTTATTTTATTCTATCACACTGGCCAACTGGAAGGCTGCATATTTTCCCTGTGATTTGTTAATTGTTCATCTATTCAATAGGATGTAAATTCTATGAGTGCATAAAGTTTTGACAGTTTTATCCACATCTAAAGCCCTAGAGTCTGGGATAGAGCATAGATGCTTACTAAATATTAACGAAATGAATGTGTGTTGAGTATCACATGCTGATCCACTGTACCTTAAAGTACTACAGATTTAGCTTATTTTAAAGGCACAAGAAAGCCATTAACACACACCAAAGCCACTGTCACAAAATTTGCAATGTGAATTCTATTTATTATTTGTGAAATACTTCACCAGTTTGAGCAAAGGTGTATTGCTGCCTTTCAAAGTACATAGTGACAGTGACCTGATGAGTATAATATTTCCTTGGTTCCCAAGCAATGATAACAATGATTTTTCACTTTGAAATGCAGTTCTACTGACTAGATTTAAGTAAAACATTTTAAAACAAGTGTTTACTAAATGGATGTCAGTTAATATATTTAAAATTTTAATAGCAATGCTTGTCTTCTGGCAAGTGGTACCATAAAAATATTTATTAGCACATAAATAAAGTTCTACCCACTCTGTTTGGCATATAAAAGCATGGGTCTTGTCTTCTAGATGTTCAACACAATTAAATACATGGCTGTGTTATCTCCCAATTGCTGAAAGAGACCTAAACAATAATGCATAAAAAAGAAAGTCCTTTGGCCTGGGACTGTAGCTTAGCTGGTAGAGTGCTTACATAGCATGCAGGATTCTGTGGATTCCATCCCAGGAACTTATGTACTGGGTATGGTGGCACATGCCTATAATCCCAGCACTTTGGAAGCAGAGACAGGAGGTTGAGAAGTTCAATGTCAACCTTGACTACACAGTGAGCTTGAGGCCAGCCTGGGATACACGAAACCCTCTCACAAAACAAAGACAAAATAAAACAACAAAAAAGAGAATCTTTAAATGTTCAATTGACTCCTCATCATATGAGAATATAATTTATAATGTTTGACGTTTTTTGTCAGACTTCAATAAAGGAAACATTCTCAAACCATAAGGGCTCTAAACTTTTCTAACATTCAGGTTCAGAGTATTTAAACAATTAATATTTTAATGCAAACTTAGTTAAAACTTATTTTAGAAGTTCAAAATTGGTAAGTAATTGTAAGTATTAGGTACAAATTTGGATTACAAAGAGAAGTGTACTTAGGAGTGGGACTCTCAGTTGCAAGTGACCTAGAGCCTTAAGAATGTCCTTTAAAATATGACACATGGGCCAGGTATGGTGAAACACGCCGTTAGTCCCACCACTTGGGAGGCAGAGGCAGGCAGATCTCTGTGAGTTCCAGGCCAGCCTGGTTTACATAGCAAGTTCCAGGTCAGCTGGGGCTACAGGGAGACCCTGAAATAAATAAATAAATAAATAAATAAATAAATAAATAAATAAAATAAAATACGACACAGAATAAAGGCCCACTAGTGACATACCATTTTCCCCAGGGTAGTCTCAAATGCTTCAGAAAACTTCTTCAATAGATCTGTGTCGTCACAGCGAGTTGCTTTGTACAACATGTCAAAGGACTTGAATCCATGGTTTGCAAAACGTTTTACTGGAAAATGTTGGGCATAACAGCGTCAGTTGGTCAGTGTTTCCAACACAAAGTTTTAATTTCCTTTCCCTCCCTTCCTCCCCCTTTCTTTCTTCCTTTCTTTCTCTTTCTTTTTGTTGTCCTAGGATCGAACCCAGGACTCTGAGTGGCCTAGGCAATTTCTCTACTACTGTCTTACATCCCCAGCCCAAGGAGTTAACTTTCTATGAAATAATTAAAACTTAAAATTTGAATTCTAGAAAAGGACAAATTAGGAACAAGTATATGACACGCGTGAAAATGCCATAATGAGGCCCAGTTATAGGTTAACTTAAAACAAATTTTAAGTTAAATTTATTTTTTGGATTCTGACATGATTTGTTTTAACAACAAGAGTTGACAATGAAGAAGTCTCTAGGCATTAGCTCACTACAATAAACCATGATCTCAGCTGCACTGTGTTTAGTTACTCAGTGGTGAGTGTGCTTTGAGTTTGCTTTTGATTCTTTACCTTCCAATCACATTAAAAAGTGAGTATTTGAGAGATCATATACTTTGATCATAGCTGGATTTAAAGTTGTTAATCTACATTTATTATAGATTTATATTTTAAACTAATAGATATTAAAATGTCTATAAATCTGGACATGGTAGTAGCATGCATTTAGTTCCAGTACTTGGGAGGCAGTCACAGAAAGATCTCTGTGAGATCAAGGCCATTCTGGTCTGCAAAACGAGTTCCAGGCCAGCTGGGGCTACAGGGAGACCCAAAAAGACCAGAGAGTCTCTAACCAATATATGCAACTATACTCCTTGAAAGTATAGTTTTGCAGAGAAATTTTGTTCTGGGAGCAAAAACTTGCATTGTGGGCTTACAGAATCTAGGACGTGGTAGGCCCAGGGTTCAATCTTCAGCATCACAATTTAAAAAAGAAAGAAAGGAAAAGGGAAAAGAAAGCTTGTACTTTTACAGTAATAGATTTACCAAGGAATCCCAAAATATTTAGGGGCAACATGTCTGAATAACATCCTTCAGTCTTAGATGTGAAATAATTGACTTATAGTACTCTGTTTACTTTGATATTTGAAAAACAAATAGCCCAAGTAAGCAGGCTTTCCTTTTTATATGACAGTGGCATTTATCCCTTGCCTATGGCCCTGGACCAAGGATTCCCTCTAGACAATATCTATTTACACTAGACAAAGATATTTTTAATAACAAAAATGTACTTTATATTATGGAGCAGCTCTAAAGCAAATCTAAAGAAACTTCAAAGTCTACTTCATTCTGTCACCTATGTTGGGTAATAAGTTATATCAGCTCTTTTACAAGTGAAGAGACTTCAGATTTATGGTTCAGGTTAAGAATTCTATACTTATGAACCTTTTGAAGTATTTCTGGTAAATCATGAGAAAGCCAATGTAGTTCTGCCTTTGTATAGCAACCCAATCTATAACAGGACTCTGGGAGCTAGGATTTTAAATTCAATGAAGAATAATTCTCTTACCTACATATAGTTCAAGTTCATGACACCATTTCCCACTAATTCTTATTGTAAGGGAAGTTTCTTGTGTGAACACTAAGGAATGCATATGTGAGCACACCTTGAAAGGCCTCAGAATTAAAACTTACTAGCACAGTCTGGCCATTCAGTAGAATATGGTGGTCTCCAGATGCCATCTGCAAAAGCACAGTAATACTTCTCAGTCGACCCTTCTGTGAAATCGTAGCCCTCCAGGCAACTCAGGGTACAGTTAACTCCAGCACTGTCTTGGGCACAGATAAAGTCCCCATTTATAGGTGTGAATGGAACTTCACAGGGAGAACCTGTGTCAAAATAACACTGCGTTATTCATATATAGTCACATGAGCAGCATAAATCAAGGTCCAGGAATGAAAACTGAGCTGTTAAGGGGAATTCTCTTGTCTCTCTTTCTAGGAACATTTTATTTACCAAAAGTTTTCAGTATGGGAGAGCATCAGTGATTGAATTTTGGTTAATGTTAGACATATAATCTACAAGAAGGCAAAAATATAATCTTAGAGTATCGTTATTTTAAAATATTTTATTTATTATTATTTTTTTATTTTGTGCGTATGAACATATGGCCTGAATGTAAGTGTACCCATGTTGTGCAATTCCCATGGAGGTCAGAAGAGGGCATCAAATTCCCCTGGAACTGGAGTTACAGATAGTTGTCAGCTGCCATATGTGTGCTGGGAATTGAATCTGGGTCCTCTGCAAGAGCAGCCCATGCTCTTAACTGCTGATCCATCTTCCCAGCCCTAGACTAGTATTTTTGGCATTCCTTTAATAAAAATAAAAACTGGATAACTTAATAGAGCAAAGATATTTTCAGAATCTTTTTATTTGACATTCAAAAGAGAATCATTATAATAATATTCAGGAACAGTTTAATAAAATGGTAATTGTGTTAGTGAATCTTGACTGAATTCAACTGTTTTGAGAGATTCCTATAGGATTAGTAAAGCACCTCTCTGGATTTGTGAGTGAAAGTGTTTCCGGAGATGATTGACAATTGGGGCAGTCATTGACAGGGAGAAAGATCTGCCCTGAATGTGGGCAGCTCCATCCAATAGACTGCGAGCCTGGATGAAAGAAAAGGGGACATCAGATCCCAAGCTCTTCAGCCTTTAGGTCTCCCTGCAACTCTCCAAGGAGCTTTCTAGACTGTGGCATTGGACTGGGACTGCATCATGAGATCTCCCTTGCAACCCTCCAGGCTTGCAGCTTCATAGACTGTGTGGCAACTGTGTTCTCTGCATCTCCAGTGTGCCAAAACCACGTTTGGACTATTCAGCCCCTACTGTGTAAGCCAATTCATTAAATCTCCTTTTATAATTGCTTCTGTTCCTCTAGAGTACTCTAACTAATATAGTAATTAAAGGCTACCCTGAAAGATTCTTCTGTTTATCACAAGGTCAAGAAATGACAATTGGAAACTTAAATAAAATCTGCCAGTATTTCAACTTTGAAAATTCAATGCTCATAGCTTATCTTCATTCACAAAATAGAGAACTATAGTAATTACATATGTAAAACGTCAACTAGGTTTGGTGGGCTCATGAGGAGAGTACCTTTTACGACAATGTGGATGTCACATGTCCTGTTGTTGCCTGAGGGGTCAGTGGCTGTATACCGTACCACAGTTTCCCCATGAGGAAAGAGGTCTCCTTGTGTGTGACTTCTGGTAATGACCAATTCAGCCCCTACAGGGAAAGAAAGGATGTGACTGTGAGTTGCACTGGAGTATAACTACTTTGTGAGTCTTTGATGTGAAGTTTCATTTTTTATTTATGCAAATTATCTGGGTATTCCACTTAGGTTGATGGGTCTACTAGTAGAAAATAAAAGATATAATATTTAGGCCATACGACAGAGACAGTAGAATGAAAAATATCACTAAGGATTTTTTGCTAAATAAAATATCTTTCTTTGAATAGGTCAGTTTGAACACTGGCAGTTTAAGAAGTCTATGCACACTTCATTTTCATTGTTCTTTCCTGGGTTTTAGTGAAAATTTTAAAATGAACTTCAGTTACGTTTGTTCAAGTTTTTACTACTTTCCTATGACCTTTTATAATTTATTCAGCTAATGTTTGGAGGTGAGTATGAACACACAGAATTAAATGAGAGCTACCAGTAGGATGCATAGTTTATTTTCCAAGACATTATAAGCCGAACAAGTCAATAAACTCATTAGAACCTTCAAGTTCAAAACCTAGCAAAGGTTTAATAAATTCTCACTGAATACTGAATAAAGAGGAAGCCCAATGGCTAGGTAGGATTACTAATGTTAAATTATACTAACACTAAAACACATCGTGTAATAAATTCATTGTACTTAGCTCTTATTCCTTGACTTCTAACCTTCTAAGAAGCTTTTAAAGGCAAAACACGGTCAGTGTTGCCATGCTGACAACAAAATCTGTGTGTTCTCACCAGAGTTGTCTGAGAACTGAGGTTCATCCCAGTTGGCAGCATGCTCCTTCTCTGAGACCTGGATTGGAGGTGGAGATCGGCACCAATCTATGACAGGCGGTTCCATATCTGAAGAACACAAAATCAGACAAAGAAGTCATAAATGGTCTCTGAAAACAGCAAAGCGTCTTGAAAGAGAATTGAAGTCTGATTGGCAGAGAACCTTTGCCATATGCCATAAGGCTGATCTTGAGGCTGCTTTGATGATGAGGTGTGTCTTAGCTCTCAACCAAAAAATCAAAAGAGCTTCTTTTTAGTATGCTGTCCTCTATCTGTTGAAGAAGAAATACCAGGTTTCTATGCTTGCTGTGAGCACTTCTGTGTGGAAAGCATCCTAGGAATGGTGGCCTTTGAATCTGTGGGCTATGCTCACAGCTGTTGATCTGACTCACCTAGAAGTGAAGCAATCTTTTCAAAGAAATTGAAGGAGAAACATGACCAGATCAATCGTGCCCATGGTCTTCATCTTACTTGTAGGCTCAAGATGGGGTTGATAAGTTAGCTAAATGAAAGCACTGGTAAGTCGATATAAGACATGTCACAGAATGCCCAAGCTGTGAGGACGTGATGTTTCTGGAAGACCAAAAGCTTCTGTCCAAAAGTAGGACACTAGAGTTCAAGGTTTCTGAGGTTGATGAATTTGAGGTGAATATCCAGAATAAGGTATGAACTTGGGACTGCGGAACAGAGAAGTGAGAAAAGCAACAGGAGACGTTAATGAACTGTGAGTTTGGGGCTTTGGATGTATCTCAGTTGATTCAGTGCTTGCCTAGCGTGTATGAAGCCCTGAGTTTGATTCTCAACATCACACTAACGACATGTGGTGCTCATACCTAATAATCTCACTACTAGGTGGACGCAGGAGGAGCAGAAGTTCGAGGTCATCTTTAGCTATATGTCAAATTTGAGGCAAGCCTGGGATTAAAAAATAGAACCATGAATCTGTGTTATTAAACATTAGATTCAGATTGCAGGGTGGGTTTGAGGTGGGCTGGGGAGTTAGGTTTCAAATCTCTAATTGCATGTGCTGAAATTTTTACTTATTTTATGTGTATGAGTGTATTGCCTACATGTATATAAGTGTGCCCGTGTCGTGCAATGCCCGCAGAGGTCAGAAGAGGCGTTGGATCCCCTGGAACTGGAGCTATGGATGGCTGTTAGCTGCTCTGTGGGTGGCTGGGATTCAAACCCAGGTCTTTTCAGGAGCAGCCAGTGCTTTTAACCACGGAGCCACCTCTCCAGTCCTGTGCTGAAAGTTTTAGATATCAGTAAAGGGTAAAGAAGTTACATAGGAAGTAATTTTAGTACAACTATAGATTTTATTACCTTTGAAGTGTTCTTACCACAAGGCTTTGAGGTTTGAAGGAGACAGGAGGAATTGCTGTTTTATTTTTTTATGTGAGGAGTACAGACTGGGAAAATTTAAGAAACTTGCCTGAGGTCACTAAACTAGTAATTTGTAACATCAAGTCCAAAGAGTTTGTACCCATAATAGATGGTACACATGTTCTGAAATGAAGCAGCTGGACCCCTGGAAATGCATGTTTCTATTTTAACTCCTGTCTTACAAATACATGCTCAATTTTTGTTTTTATCTTCTGCTTGTTATTTCATGAGTATAGTAACTCAGGTTTAGTGCTTTTTCTAGACTATAGATTCTGTAAACCAGTAAGAGTCTTTTTTTATCACATGTAGGTCTCTCACTAAATAGCACAGCACCCTGTCCATAGCAGGTACACTGAACAAGTAACTGAATAAAAGAAAGAGGGGAAATGGTCCTAGGCAGTCAGAGCTCCTTGAGAATGCTGAACCAAGACAATTTATGGCGAAACGAACCAATCTGGTGTTAGCCAAATATTTTAAAATTGAATCATAGGTACAGGAAGGCAGTAAAGACTTAGTCAATTTCTGATAAAGGGTTGGAGGTATTAGTAAATGTACAGGCTGCAAAGGAGAGGGAGCGCCTACTCCAAAGCAAGCAAGGCAGCACTCTGGATGCCAGAAGAGACATTCCTTCTCGCCTGGCAGCTCTCAGACACCTGCACCCTGAAGAAAAGAAGAAAAATGTAGGCAAAGGACTATTTTCTGTCTCTGTCTCTGTCTCCAAATCTATTTGTCTCCTATGTGCCCCACCCTTTTCTCTTTTGTTATTTGGAAATTCAACTAACATCTAACTAGACACTTGAGTACATATTCTCCATTTCACCATCCTGACTCTTCATACGAGATACTGAAACTTGGCAAACTCTTAAAACAACATTTCCATGTTTAAAATTTGATAAAAAGATCTGTTTTTCATGCTGTTGGTAAAGCCTGTGTTCTTGTGTTTAAAACAACATGGAAAATACAACTAGAAAACTAAACTCTATGAAATGAATTCAATTGTTTTGTTTTTACCTGCGTCTTTTATTTACTTTTAACCAAGATCTATAATTTACAGAGTCATGGACCAGTTTGACATATATTAATTATTTTAAGCAGTTACATAAAATTCTTGAAATAAAATGGATTGGATACATTAAATTTAAAAAGCATAATGAAAATAGCTGTAAGATAAATTAGAAAAATGTGAATGTGTTATATTCTTGTTTTTACACAGAACGAGTTCAGATAGTTTATATGTCTTACTTAAAAACTCTACACTAATTTAATAAGGAAGCACATTTTTCAACATATTTTTGGATGAACAAACGAAGGCACAGGGCAGTGACTTTGATGACAGTAAGTTTATGGGAGCGAAAGGGGCAGAAGACAGAATTGAGTGACTTTGAAAACAATGATTGAGAAGAAGAAAAAGCTAGCAGCCAGCAGGAACAATCCAAAGGCCCACTCAGTAAAGAGATGAAGTAAAGAGATGCTGTGATTGTTAAAGGGGATGTAGGTTTCCAATGAAACTGGCTCAAGCCAGGAGGAAAAATCTTGGAAAAGGAAACTGTTGAATTAAAGGAGAGTTCAAAAGCTTGGAGTGTGGGATTATTTTTCTAAACCACCCATCTGATTTGAAAAACACTTACCAATAACATTAATGTAGAAAGTGCAGCTGGCCTGGTTGCCGGATAGGTCAGTTGCTGTGTAGGTGACAGCCACTTCTCCAATTGGGAAAAGGTAAGGCGGAGTAAAGGCTGGGTGAACATGGATTGTTACCTTTTGGAAAGAAATAGATATTTTGAAAGTTAATGTCAGTAGTACACTTATTCTCTTGGTGATTTATATCAGCAAAGTAATATTAAGATGACATAATATTTCATAAGGGGAAAAGGGGAAAACAAAGCACATCCTTGTGGTATATATTTTTTCTAGACTATTCTCTTTACATAGTTTATAGAGTTGGCATATATAAAAACTATTGTTCCTTGTGTTTTAAACATAATACATTAGAACATTTTTATGTTTTAATCATCTTGCACAATCTTTAGAATTTATAATGACTTTTAAACGCCCCCATCACAGTCTATAGAATATTTGACTTCTTTAAGGAAAATCTGTTGAAGAACATTAATTTTGCCCCAAATTATACTGTTATACATAGTTTTATACAATCTACTTAAATATTTTTACTATTTTCTTATATTTCCACAAACAGAACTGACTTCAGATAATCAACATTTTATTGACAGGTAATACAAAATTCCTTTCCCTTAGGAATTGTTCAGGAACAGCCCCCATTTTCAGGGGCTATGAAGTGAGCTCGGGTGTTCCCTCATCTCTATCAAGTATCATCACATGTGCTAAATGAAAAGAATGACAGCAGATCATTGTTTTATTCAGGCTTTTTTTTTTTTTTTTTTTTTGCTTTTTATTTTTGGGTATGTGTGTGGTGCTGTGAATTGAAACTAGGGTCTCACACATGCTAGGCTAAGCACCCTACCACTGATCTTTTCCTCAGCCCCAGTTTCTTAGTTTTAAGTGAAGATTAAATTCCCAAGCTTATATAACATTCTCAAATCATATCACATGCCAAATTCATTTCAAAATTATTTTATTAATTTGATAAATTCATAAATGTACTATAATATATTCTGAACACCCTCATCCTCTGCCTTCTCTTATCCATGTCCTATTCTCCTATAAATCCCTCCTTCTCCCAGCAAGTCCTTACCTCAGTTTTACTTCTTGTAGTTTGGTCACCCACTGTGTTTAACTAGGGCTAGTCCTGGTAGGCCCGTGTGTGGAGCTATCCACTGGCACAGGGCAGCTCACTGGGGCTATACCACTGACGACAATGATTTCCTCTCCCTCAGCAGCCCGCAACTACTGTCTTCAGCAATAGGATCTTACCTTCAGTGCTGGGAGACAGTCAAGGACTGTGGCAATAGCCTGTGTTATTTTTGAGAGTCTCGTGGATGACCGAAACCAGCAACTTGAATGGCGGTTTCTCCTACCTAGCATTCTGTGGGGGGTTGTTTGTTTGTTTGTTTGTTTGTTTTTCTATACCCATGCACATGTATATTTATTGTATATGTATTTTTCAGTAGGACTTTGAACTAATACATTTCCCTCTGGTTTTTCACACCATTTAAGTATTATTTATCTCTCCTTTCACTCCCTACCTCCCCTGTAGAGCCCTTGCTACACCCTCCCAGTTAAAGTACCCCCTTTTGTTCATTTCCCCCTCAATAACACCCATCTCCTACTATCCCCCTCTCTCAGTCACCTTCTTTTCCTTTATCCCCTGGTTCCTTTCCATTTTCCTGGTTCCTGCAGCTACATCAGGATATATATTTCATCTGGGGTTTGGAGCTAAGATCCACAAATGAGAGAGAACATACGTCCCTTGTTTTTCTGAGTCTGTTACCTCACTTGGTATAACGCTCTCTAGTTCCATCCATTTACCCGCAAATTTCATGGTTTTGTTTTTCCTTACCCTCCGAGGAGAACTCCATTGTGTAACTGTTCCACATTTTCATTACCCACTCATCAGTTGAGAGACTTTAGGTTGTTTCCAATCCTTAGCTATTGTGAAAAGAGCAGCAGCAAACATGGCCGTCCAAGCTGCTCTACAGTAGGATGTGTCCATTGAGTATATGCCAAGGCGTGGTATGACCAGAGCATATGGTAGACTTATTTTTAATTTTTTAAGAAGTCTCTATTTCACTTTAGTTGCACCAGTTTGCATCCCATTCAAAGTGGATGAGGGTTCCCCTTTCCCCACATCCATGCCAACATTTGGTGCCCCTTGTTCTCTTAATCTTAGGCATTCTGACTACATTCATTTAATTTCTTAACCTAAAGACAAATACCAAGCTAGAAAAAATACTTTAAAGTTGTCAAAGCTTAGAATGCTTATTATATAACATGATAATATAGTTTTTATTAGGTCACAGTTTTCAAGTGGATGAAGATATACGTGCAATCTAAAAAATAACACAGGCTATTGCCATAGTCCTTGACTGTCTCCCAGCACTGAAGGTAAGATCCTATTGCTGAAGACAGTAGTTGCGGGCTGCTGAGGGAGAGGAAATCATTGTCGTCAGTGGTATAGCCCCAGTGAGCTGCCCTGTGCCAGTGGATAGCTCCACACACGGGCCTACCAGGACTAGCCCTAGTTAAACACAGTGGGTGACCAAACTACAAGAAGTAAAACTGAGGTAAGGACTTGCTGGGAGAAGGAGGGATTTATAGGAGAATAGGACATGGATAAGAGAAGGCAGAGGATGAGGGTGTTCAGAATATATTATAATACATGTATGAATTTGTCAAATAAATTAATAAAATAATTTTGAAATGAATTTGGCATGTGATATGATTTGAGAATGTGAACAAAAGTTCCCAAGAAAAAAATGTGCATCTTGAACTGAACTTTCCGTAAGGCTGATTAACTGATTAGAATCCAATGACTGGAAAGTTTTTTTCAAGTCCAGAGCCTAATTACAATTTATCATGGACTGTCTTTAGCCCTCTAAATAGTCATTTCTTGCTCACCTCTGTGTTTGACCTAACATCCCGTGACTGACAGCTAAAAAATCTTTTGGGGTTCTGGAGAAATGGCTCAGTGGTTAAGAGCACTGGCTGCTCTTACAGAGAACCTGGGTTCAATTCCCAGCACCCACATGGTGGCTAAGAACCATTCATAATTCCAGTTCCAGGGGATCTGATGCCCTCTTCTGACTTATGAATTACATACATTCAGGCAATACACACATACACATAAAATAAAAACAATAAATAAAATATTTTTTAAAAAAGAAAACAGTTTTACTTGAGAGGCAGAGGCAGGTGAATCTCTGTGAGATCAAGGCCAGCCCTGGTCTCCATAGTGAATCCAGGCCAGCTGGAGCTACTGGGAGATAAATAAATAAATAAATAAATAAATAAATAAATAAATAAATAAATCTATCTTTTGGTGTGTATTAACAAACCCTAGCTTCCACCAACCAAAAGGCTGAATGTCATCAGAGAGCATCCTTATGAGGCCTGTAACTGAAATTTCTCTTTTGTTATAACCGCCTACTTAATGTTTCCACAAATATATTTGAAAAGTGTCTTAATTTATGACTTTCTTTGTTCTCTTACTCTAAAAACTTTACGAAAGTGCTTCCACATTGGAACACAGAATGTGGGATAACCTAAATCTCTGTTCCTGGGTCATGGTCATTCATGTTTGGTTCCAGAATAAACTATCTCTTATCCCCTTTGAGGTGAAAATTGTGCTTTTACCTTGACAAGAACATAATTTCACACTGAAAAATTTATTTGCTATTTATAAGCTAACTGAACCTCTCTTATGACATTAAAAAAAAAACATGTATATGGGGCTGGAGAGGTGGCCCAGCAGTCTTGTACATAACTCCAGTTCCAGGGGATTCAACACCCTGTCCTATTCTCTGTGGGCACTGCACAACACATGTCCACAAAAAAGTATGCATGTTTTTATGTGTATGAGTGTTATCCCTGCATGTATTAGCTATCCATTAGAGTGCAGTACCAAATACTGTATTTTTTATTTTATAAGACTTTTTAATTTCTGGTGGATTCAGTTGTCACACATTCCCTTCCCTTCCTCCCTTCCTCTCTTCCTCCCTTCCTCTCTTTCTCTATGTATCTATCAAGTACCTATGTACGTACCTTTTCGTTCTTTCTTTCTATCTACCTATCCTTCAATTAATCCCTCCTTCCTTCCTTCTTCCCTCCCTTCCTTCCTTCCTTCCTTCCTTCCTTCCTTCTTTTTTGTTAGAGATTGAACCCAAGACCTTGTACATGGTTTAACACAGAGCTATAACCCCAACCCTATTTTTAAAAATATTTTAAATCTCTGTATTCTACTTCACACCCCAGAATAATCTTGTCAAATTTCAGAAATGCTCTACGGGAAATGTCACTGATATACATTTATTCCATAAATATTTATCTTTTCAATCTACTAAGATAACATGTATTTCCATTTGAGTTTTTTTCAGTCTTTCACTGTTTCATGTTTCTTTTCTGTTTGTTCTTTCTCATCAAGCATATAACTAAATAATCTACATTTTATCTCATAATGTCAGATTTTCTCTCAATAACCTGTTATACACCACTATATTTCACTAATGGTATGTGTCAGGGGTATGAATATATATGTGGATATTCAGTTTAAATACTTAGTTACAGGAAATTAAATCAAGAATATAAACACAATTTTATAGTGTTTTTCTTAAAAAATCTACAGCACAATTATGAAACAGATAGTATATACAGAAGCCAGTAAGTAGAGATGTGAAATATGAATAGTTGATATTCTTTGTTACATAATTCTTTGCTCTGAACTGAAAACAGTTTTTCCTGGCAGAGAAGAGAGGCTTATATGACTCCAGGAGCTCATGAAACTTAAGAGGCTTAGGAAACTCAGAAAGTTATGAGATTCACAAAGTCTCTCCCCAAGGTTATGAGGCAATAAACACTTGCTAGGTAGGAATCACTCTGGTAGAGACAATTGCAACTTGTTCAGGGAGCTCCAGGAATGCAGATGCTGTGAGTTGTCACCCATTCTGGTAGGCTTTCTGGTGCTGCAGCTGCCTTTGAGCAGACTATAACCCCAATAAACCCATTGGTTTACCAAGCTGGACTTGGGCAGAATTGTTTCTTTGGACTCTCATTGGTGCCCTATTTGTGGAGGGGTTAACAAACGTTAATGTTCACATCTCCCCAGAAAGAAATCACATTCCTTT